CCTTTTTTGTTCTTTTCTTAAATTAAACATTTCTCTACCTACAAAAAACATGCGCAAACAAGGGAAATAACTCTCTTACTTGCAAACGTAGGTTGGGTGTTTGAAGCAGACCTCATCGCACACGTCCACTGTTTCCCATTCTTGTGGGGCGCCAAGGGCCAGCACCATAAGGCAAGACAATGCTTTGATAGAGGTAAAGATCAAAGCGGTCAATTTAAAAAAAAAAAAAAAAAAAAAAAAAAAAAAAAATAAACAAAAAAAAAAAAAAAAAAAAAAAAAAAAAAAAAAAAAAAAAAAAAAAAAAAAAAAATTAATGAAAAAAGAATTGAATTCATGATACAGAGCTAATTCATGGGTTCGTTATACAAAATGGACTGTGGAGACGGAGTATACATCCATATAAGATCTGATTGCTAGGCTGTGCAATATCGCCCGCCATCGTGCAAAACAAAGTAAAAAGGTGCTACTTCGCCAACTGCTGTTCGCTGTGATGCCACCTTTACATCGCACACAGAAGGAGGTCTTCAGCGGCTAGTTGATCGTCTATCATACGCATGTAAAGAGTTTGGACTGTCTATTAGTCTACAGAAAACAAATGTCACGATGCAAGAAGCACCGTCCCTTCCAATTATATCTATTGAGGGCCATAATCTGTCGGTCGTTGAGCATTTCACATACCTTGGATTGAATATTTCTATTTGACGAAGAGATGAACATCAGGACCGCAAAACCAGCAGCAACTATGGCTAAAATGAATACGTGGGTGTAAATAATATCAATCTGACCGTAAAAAAAAAAAACTAAGCGTCTTTCAGGCATGTGTGCTTGGTGCGCTCCTATATGGCAAAGAAAAGGTCGACCACATATCCCAGTCGTGAGCGGAAACTCAACAGCTTCCATCAAAGATGTCGGCGTCGCATTTTACACATTCGATGGCAGGCTAAGGTGCCTAACATATAGGTCTTGGAACATGCAAAAAGTATAGCATATTCTCCGCTATTAATTTTCCACAATCTTTCAATCATACATTATTTACCAAAGAATAAGAAGAAAATTGGACTTGCTGATAAAGTCCGCAGTTGAAGACGCCCGCAATAGATCTCAACAATGGGAGGAGAATTATTTTAAAATGGCTGCGAATCACATGCCACCCCCCCCCCCCCCTTTTTAAAAAAGGGCGGGGGTGTGTAGCAATCAATTTAAAATGCTAGTTATTTTTACTTGCCAACCGAAATTAATCTAAATTATCAAAGACGTAAATATTAACTTAAAAGGAACAAAAAAAAAAAAATTTTTAAAATGGCTGCCAAACCCATGCCCCCCCCCCCCCCCCCTTTTTAAAAAAGGGCGGGTGTGTGTAGCAATCAATTTAAAATGCTAGTTATTTTTACTTGCCAACCGAAATTAATCTAAATTATCAAAGACGTAAATATTGACTTAAAAGGAACAAACAAAAAAAAACGCACTTTTTTCCACAGTGCGACGGAAGAGCCATGATATCAAACCATGTGTAGAGAGTCTCTAAAAAAAAAAAATGAGTTTCAGCCAGACCAACTTACCAGCAACTACAAGGACGCAGTGAGAAGTCATTTTTGAAATTACAAATCGTCAGTCAGGAAATTATTTACAATAAAGTTTGTAAGCGACTTATATAGGGCACTGTCTAACAATCAACCCATAGCATGGCAATGAAATGTTTGTTTACAGATTGTGTAGAAAGTTGCATAATTTCACACAGACAATAATAATATTCAAGGAGAGACTCGGCCATTAAAAAACAAAGAGACGATAAAACACCCGATATCATGGGCGGATCAAATAAAACTGTAAGGGAATGGATTTTTTTTTGGGAGGGGGGAGAGAGGGGGTGGTCACTTCTTTTTCTTTCCTTTATATTATTAATTTGTAGGCCTACTTTAAGGGTTGCATCCGTTGTACAAGGTAAAACTAGGTTGCTGTATGGAATACAATTTAATTGAAATGGGGAAAAGGTATATTAATAGTGATAGACCACCAAAGAAGAGTTTAAAATTCAGGAGTTCAACACCATTTTCTTCCTGTATAAACTTTCCCATTAAAGGGCTTTAAAAAAACAACAACTTTTCAAGTATTTTATTTGTTTCAAAATGTACACAAATATTGACTGCATAGGGCTAGGCACTTTGAAAAGTGACCTCCTGGTGGTGGGGCGGGGCGACAAATACCATACTATCATTACTATGTATCCCCTCCTGTCTGATCATTTATTGAACGTCTAGTTTTACAATGCCTTTGTAATGCTTTTCTTTAGTCAACATTAAAACCATTTTATATTCTTGGAATAAATTAGTGTCATAGTGAGAAATATACGATAGAGTGAATAGACTTTAAACATTGACCTTGGCCTTGTTTTACCTTTTGGAATGCCCGAATTCAGAGGTGGCGATAAGGAAAAAGGGGGGGGGGGCATTTAAAGACGTGACTGAATTCCTATTGTTGTTAAAGCTGAAAGGGAAACAACTCGTTTGTAAGAGAATGACACATTTGTTTGAAGTGAATTTAATTGTGAATTCGCTGGCAGTGAATACATCTTAAAAATAACAGTTTATTGATGACACAAAACTCATCTTTCTATCGTCTCCCTTTCGACCAATCCTGACACGCTACTGTGAGCATCGTTGACATAGTTTATGTGGCTAGTTCTGACGTGGGCTGTATTTATGTGGCTAGTTCTGACGTGGACTGTATTTATGTGGCTAGTTCTGACGTGGGCTGTGCAATATAGGCTTTAATTTTAAAAAGGACCTTTCTAAAATCATGTAGTGTCTTCTTATGAACGTATATCCTATGTAGTGTGGGCAGAAAACCTGGACAGAAATTCAACAATTCCTAGCAAATTCTACACTTTAATACTATAATAGCCAGCTAATTCTACACTTTATACTATAATAGCCAGCTAATTCTACACTTTGACACTAAAATAGCCAGCTAATTCTACACTTTAATTCTATAATAGACAGCTAATTCTACACTTTAATACTATAATAGCCAGGTAATTCTAAACTTTGATACCATAATAGCCAGCTAATTCTACACTTTAATACTATAATAGCCAGCTAATTCTACACTTTGATACTACAATAACCAGCTAATTCTACACTTTAATACTATAATAGCCAGCTAATTCTACACTTCGATACTACAATAACTAGCAAGTTCTTAGTTAAAATACCATAATACCAAGCCAATTCTACCATTAAGCACCACGTGGCAGTAGCCAGCCAATTCTTCATTAAATATCTCAAAACCAAGCCAAATTCTTCACTAAATATCTCAAAACCAAGCCAAATTCTTCACTAAATATCTCAAAACCAAGCCAAATTCTTCATTAAATATCTCAAAACCAAGCCAAATTCTTCATTAAATATTTCAAAACCAAGCCAAATTCTTCATTAAATATTTCAAAACCAAGCCAAATTCTTCATTAAATATTTCAAATCCAAGCCAAATTCTTCATTAAATATCTCAAAACCAAGCCAAATTCTTCATTAAATATTTCAAAACCAAGTCAAATTCTTCATTAAATATTTCAAAACCAAGCCAAATTCTTCATTAAATATTTCAAAACCAAGCCAAATTCTTCATTAAATATTTCAAAACCAAGCCAAATTCTTCATTAAATATTTCAAAACCAAGCCAAATTCTTCATTAAATATTTCAAAACCAAGCCAAATTCTTCATTAAATATTTCAAAACCAAGCCAAATTCTTCATTAAATATCTCAAAACCAAGCCAAATTCTTCATTTAAGTCGGGGCCGGCTTAAGGTACTGGCAACTCAGGCAGTAACTGCCTGGGGCGCCATGGGCTTAAGGCGCCTATTCTACCAATACACAACCACAAAATTGTAGAGATCAAAATTGTAAGCTGATATTTTTAAATATTAAGTGATAACGTCAGTTTCATTGAAATAAGGGAAACCACCAGTATTAAATTAAGAGCGTGTATTTAAATGACCTAACTTAGGTATTATTCCTTGATACTTATCTTTATTGAATAACTTAATAAAACATTAATGAAAGTTATTAAAACATCTTAACTTTCCTTTTTTCTTACACACCCTTTTTCTGAATACCAAGTAATTAAAATATATAGTCTTAATTTTATACAAATCTGGTTTCAGAGCAGCACTGCTGAAATTTGTGGTATAAAAAAAGGTCAAGGGCAAATATACAATTAAGAACCTGACCAAACATTCCAAGACTAAAAATATCATCGAATTAATATTTTTAGGGGGGGGGGGGGGGGGAACAAAAGCTTCTTCAATTATGGAAGAGTTCAGCATTTCTCCTAAGTGAATCTATCCTGTAGTTACAGAACGAAAGCAGTCTTTCATAAATCTATGTTGCTGAGGAACAAAATCTTTTAACTCTCAAATATGATTGTAGAGTTGGTTTTTAGGTAGAGGGAAATAGAATAGATTGTATTTAATTTAACTATATGTTATAGGTTTTTAAACTCAGGAAATGGATGAATTTTACATTAACAGTTCTCTAATCCACTCCAAACAACCAATGGTAATATAGTGCCTACCCACCCTGGTAAATAAAGGAGTGATTCAATACTCGGTCCCAGCTCATCTTTAGAACTATGGCAGGGAGGGAACCTAGTACTGAGTGAGTGTATTTTCTGTCAAGTGTGAGCATGAGTTATCTTCTTGGGCTCAGTAGAACAAATAACATTATTTAAATTACATAGTCTAACATGTTTTAAAAAATTAATAAACTTAATAGAAAAAGGACAGACTCTTGAAATTAATGTCTGAGAAACTATTTAAAAAGATGGAAGAAACCATCACAGATATTCTACAAACCATCACAGATAGTCTATGTGTTTGTTACTTTTGTTTGTCGGGGAGAGTAGAGGAGATAAAATCAAAGTACATCTATTAAATTAATCTAGTCCTAGGAATTACACATTTAGTAGACAGGATTCATTAGCAGGTAACAAGTTTTTATTTTTCAGTTCGACAATGAGGAAAATATTATCACATCATTCAAGACAACATCCATGACAGAAACAGACATGTTTGCAAAACATTTCATTTGTCTATAGTTTTATGGCAAATTATCTATTCCTGTAAAAAACAAAAATAAAAACAGTGACAAATTCTACTTGTATTATAAGAGGGGAGATTTCAATCAAACTGTCAACAAGTATCATATATAAAGGACATATGATGCTTTCAAGTTTCAATGAATAAATAACAATGACAAGAAGATGTCAGCAAAAAGCCTTCAGAAAAAAATATAGGTTTCATAATACTGGGATTATTTCTTACTACAAGAAACATAACATAACTTCGCTCTGTTACAGAATTACTCAGTGCAGACCCTAGGTCATAAAAGACTAGGAAATCAAATCTTAAGTGCTGTCAATGCCAACGAGGAAAAACAGAAGCACACCAATTTAGAAAGTTCAACAACACTTTGATAAATAAATGTTTGTGACACAATGCACCTGTGAAACACAACCATTGATCCATTTTAATCACAGAATTCTTTTAATAAAAAGTATAATGTTCAACTTGATAAGACTTGTGGGTCATTTTTGTCATGCAATGAGTTTCAATAGAAGATTTACTTCAGATTCAAGAATTTTATTGCAGTCCCAGCTCAATTAAAACAGTCACCGTTTAGCTTCAGATCCATGATTTTCATTGAAATACCAGCTCATTAATATTGTCAATAGATGACCCAAAGTCAACACATCAGGATTTTAAATTTCTACCTAATGGAAATAACATTTAGTTAAGGTTCATCATCACATTCCATCATAGGATCCATATCTCTATCACCAGAGCTCTGTCCTAATGTATGACTAGTGATCCCACTGGCTGGGTGAGGCCTGTCTTCTGATAGACCAGATATAAAAGGAGTGACAACCACATGACTGGCAGTCGGCTTTTTGAAGTCAGGATGGTCAACTGTGACCTCTGAGCTGGGAACTTCCAGGACAACCCTGTCAGTATCAGAGCCTTTTGTGAGAATTTTAGTTGTTAGAAAATGAGCAGGATCACTTATAATTTGTTGGGCATCATAATCTGAATGAACAACATGGCTGTTGGAATCTGACAAGTCTTGGTTGATTGCTTTACATTGGTCATAGCTTGCAACACCTGTTGGAACATATTCACTCACTGATATTTCATGTTCATCAGTTTCGGAATGGGACAATACAGGTGAGTTGTATTCATCTGAGTGAGTGATATCCCCTGGGTGATGAGAATAGTTTGTGTCAGAAATCTCCACTGAATAATCAACATGAGAGGAAACATAGTCTGAGTGGGTCACTTCCTCGTGATCCAATATATCGGAGCCATAAACAATATCATTAGGGTGTTCTGTGGGGTGGTAGATTGGCATATCCCCCTGATGTTCATTTGAATGGTATATGGGGACATCAGCTCGGTGTTCCCTGGGATCATAGATAGGGATATCTTCACTTTGCTCCATGGCTTGGTAGATAGGGATATCAGTGTTCTGTCCTGTGGGATGATAGCTTGGTATATCACTATGATCTGCAGCATGGTAGATTGGATTTTGTGAGAGAACCACCAATTCCTCTGTTTTTTCTTCCTCAAGTCGGTCAGTGTGAAGGCCTAAAAATATATTTTAAGACTCATTAAATACAAGAATGGGACTCTTCCACGAAGCCTTAATTTTTAAAAATTCATTAAGCATTAAAAGGTGACAAGATAAAATTACATGTTAGTAATATTAGTAACAAAGAAACTTAGGGAAAAAATTAATGCCTAAGTTGAGAAATTTTAATTTTAGAAACTGACTTTTAGGAGCTGAAACTAATGAAAGGGAATAATTATTTTTTTAAATGCAAAAAGTACATACATTTATTTTTGTTACTTTCATTGCATTAGGGAAGGAATTTTTTTTATGATTTATATTTCTATAAGATAATGGCAAAAAAACAACTCAGTTTTTCAGATACCTTCATATGAGTTCTTTAAAACAAGAACCTGGGGTGCAGATTTATCTCTTCTATTTTGCTCCACATCATTCTTGGACATGTGGCTTCCATTAGCATCATCTAATATATTTGTTACTTTGCTCTCTTGTTTGAAGCTGTTTCTGAATTCTTCATCTAAGTGATGCCTTATCAGATGCTGTCGTCTGCTACCACTTTGAGTGAACTTTTTACCACAGATGTCACATTCAAAGGGTTTGTCCCCTACAATAACATTCAAAGAATAAAATAAAATTTAACTTATTTATATAATAATATAATATTCCTTTTTAATTCCTTTCAAACATTTTCATGTTTTTTTGCATTTGTCTAGTTTTAATTTATTTATTTTTAAAAATGAAATGATTAAATTTACTTAATATCAGTCAGTGTTGCTGGAAATACTTTCCAACACACATTTTGTTCTTGGACTCACCTCCTTTAATAAATACTAAATAGATTCTTTGCCAAAGTTACTTAAAATGACATAATATATTCTCTGTTATGATAGCAATTACCAGAATGTGTCAGTTTATGTTTCCTAAGACTAGATTGTTCTGTGAATCTTCTTTTGCAATTGTGAACATCGCAGACAAAAGGTTGCTCACCTGAGAAAACAGATAAATATTAAGAGCTGTCAGTCAAAAACATTATAGACATTGAACAAAAAAATGGAATGCTCCAGCATAACAGAAACTCGTACTAGACAGTGACAAGGCCATGGCAGGTAGTTCCGGTTCATAACAACAAGAACACTGCACAGGAACTGATCATGCCTGCCAAAGTCAATCAGGGACTGGAACAAATGTCCAAAAGGAACAGTTGAGGCGACAACACTTGTGTCTATTGCCTCCTGCCTTCCAACTCCCAGTTTCTAATACCATCGCTAAGTAGCCCTTGCAACAAGTGGAAACCATGCATAGAAACATCGCAAACCCCCTCTACAAACATGGAAGCTAGAGTACTGTCTAAGTGTATTTAAATCTAGCGAGTTCATTTGTGAAAAATACATGGCAATAATTCGTATAAAAAATTGCCATAAATATGCTATTTTTAGACTTTCAGGAGGAATTTTGTAGAATTTTAAAATAATTTTAGTACTTTCTGCCGACACCCCCCACCCCATATCATACGAAAATGTGACAGTGTTAATTTTATAACCTTAAATATTTAGGACCCTCCCCCCCCCAACACAAAATCTCCTAAGTCAACAACACGCCATTCCTCTCTACGGAAAAAAGTAATATAATTATAGATGGTCCACAACCAATTTTATTTTCTATTCATTCACTATTGGATGTAGAATGCAAAAGCAAGGTTAAACCAACAACCGGAAGATGTACTTGTTAATTTTTTTTTTTTTTAAATTTAATCTGAAAAAACTACTAGAATGTATATATTATCGACCCAGTCTCTTAAAATTGTAGTTCTGACAGGTCTTGGCATACAATCATAAAAGACCTTGCCAAAATCGTAAGAGTAAACAGGTCTGCAGAATGATCAATACATTGATCGTGGGCCCTCAAAATATAGAAAAAGGAGAGGAAAATACTTGGCTGCCTGGTGATAGAAAAACAGTTGTTTGAAATGAGGAAGAAAAAAAATATTTGAATAAAAAGTAAGTGTATGAAAAAAAATTGATTCCTGATCAACCCTTCCAGAGTTGAAACAAGTACTTTGTAAGTCAAAGGTCAGCCTGCAGGACTCCCCCTACTCTCAAGCCCCATGGGTAAATACACAAATTAGCAATTTCCCAAATCAATTTTTTTTTTTACATTTCAAGGCTGTTTAGAAATTTATATAATATATGTAATAATACTTTAAGTACAAAGAAATAATATAATTTACTTTTACATGTATTTTCTCATTTGATATCAGTAACTACTAATATTTGGCATTTTAAAAAGTTCATGTCAATGGATTTTTTTAGTTATTTTAATTAAAAAATGTACATACATTTGATATCTGCGAACAAATCTCTTAGTTTTTATGTTTTTTTAAAGTTCACTTATTTCCGAGTTTTGTGGTGATTTCCCTTTCTTTGAAAGGCCAAGCACCTTTTAAATGGCTTGTTGATAACTGCATAATGCAGAATGATTACTTGATAAACTTTAAGGCAGTTGTGATGATAAGTAGTTATTTCAATATCTAGGCATCGAGTATTAACAAGATTTTGTGCCCTTAACCAAAAATAAATCTTTCTGTCATTAAATTTAGACTCAATATCAGGCTTAAGTCCTGAAACTCACCAGTATGAATCCTCTGGTGGTTTTTCAGATTTCCAGCAGTTGTAAATGTTTTGCCACAGCCTTGATGAGTACACTGAAAAGGTTTCTCTCCTGTATGTGTCAGCTGATGAACATTTAACCGTTGGGCAGTAAAAAAGGTTTTTGAACAAGATTCATAAGGACACTTATACTGGCGGTTATTCCTATAAAGAAAATGACAAATGATGCTAATTACAGACTAATGTAAGAATATATTGTGCACACAGATAGTGGTATTACATTTATATAATTTTACTAATAATAATAATAATAAGGGGTCTTATATAGCACGGTACCCCAGCCTAGGGCTGGGCTCACCGCGCTGTACATAAAAATTTTATCAAAAGAGATATAATCATGACATTAAAATAAAATACATTTATGAAATAAAGAACAGCACCCACACCACCACATAACTTTTAAAAGGCAAACCATGGACGGCAGCCAGCAAGATCATTTATCGGTCAGAGGAGGGGAATCACACCATTTATTGTTTCTTATACCACTGATTTAATTATAATGATTGAATTTGAAATTCATAACAACATATTCCTAAGCAAGACACCATTTAATATTTGGTTAAATAATAAACAGCTACAATGATGCATGTAGTGTTCATGATACAGACCTGTTTACCCTCAAACTCCTAAAATCGTACAATATCGTCTCAAAATCGTACAATACAGTATCTTAATAGTAAAAAAATAAATATACAGTATATATAATATATCCAGAAACTACTGGTATAGCGTGTTCAGTGGCATTCAGTTCAGCGGTTTGTCAAAAAATGGAACTGAAGGTAATCAGTATTCGACTGACGTTAGCTGCAAACTGCGGTCACTTCATTTTGAAGACCTGCATCTGCTATAGATACCTCCATGTTTGTGACCAAAATGTTTGTGACCTACATAAACGATATATTTATTTTTATCCCACCCTTTATTTTATTTGTGTATTCCCTATTTCGAAGTGTACTTGTAAGAATTTCATCCAGGAAACCCTGGCGAAAACCTAATATGACATATGCGCCGGGAAACAAAATTATAAGAACCACTGGCCAACCAAAATGCGTCACACGCGCGCTGAACCCTCATGACTAAACACAACTGTAACTTCTCTCCCAATGGTAGCGAGTTTATTGTTGACAATACATCTTGACAACATCACCGCAATAATTCCTACAAAACATTGGGTGGTATTGTACAGCATTCGAGATATAAATAGAATGCTATTTTTGGACTTTCAGAGTTAGGGGATGAATATTGTAGACTTTTTAAATAACGTACGTTCTTTCTGCCGAGGAACAGCGCCACCCCCCCCCCCTGTCATTACGGAAATGTCGCGGTGTTGATTGTATAGATTTAAGTATTTAGACCAACGCCAAACCCAAAATTTCCTAAATCAACACCACTCCTTTTGTCCCTGATAGATTGTTCATGAAAAGTGCAGTGCGCGCATGATGGACCATTCGACAAAGAACGCAACCCAGTCAATTTTGTCTGATATCCCCCTGTCATTACGGAAATGTCGCGGTGTTGATTGTATAGATTTAAGTATTTAGACCAACGCCAAACCCAAAATTTCCTAAACCAACACCACTCCTTTTGTCTCTGATAGATTGTTCATGAAAAGTGCAGTGCGCGCATGATGGACCATTCGACAAAGAATGTAACCCAGTCAATTTTGTCTGATATTCAAGCAAAACTATCTGCTGATAAACTTTCTTTTTCTGTTGTTGAAACTGATGTTTATCGGTAGAAAGAGAAGATTCTTCTTCATCACCCATTCCGCGAGCCTTTCTTTTTGTCGAGGTCATATCGTAAGATACTAAGTGAGGTCAACTACGGAACCGAAAACAAGAATGATGACCGATTCCATTAATGATAATGGTAACATTAAAATCACGCAATGTGCACATAGGTCAATGCAGCCAAATTCTAGCGCCAGAGCTGTTTCGACAGCCCATATATAACATTTAAAATAAAAATGAAAAAGTTAACAATGATTCATACCTCGCCCCCCAGCTGCACGCCCTGCCAACTTAAAGGGCCATCCAAAGATGACTTACTCGCTGAGGATGCGTTTTGGTTGAGTTGGGGGGGGGCACCAGAATGCACCTACATGTATGCATAAATTCTACAATAATTATCTTGATTCCTGACAGTCTCTTATAAAGCCAACTGTCACATGAAAATCTGTGAAATCCACGAAATTTAATTAGGTCTATTATTATTATTAAGGCTATACAAATATCACCACAATGCTTCGCATTTATCGTATACCGAATACTAGTGCTTTGTGTTTTCATAAAGAGGTCGCTGTAGTAGACATTAAACACGACATAGTGACAACACACTGTAGTCCACTAACACGTATTTCCGTGCTGGTGTCAAACCCACCTTCCCCCACCCTCATTAATAGGAAAAACATAGTGCCCTCGCCTATCCAATATGCCCCTGAGTTTTTACGTTAACAGTGGTCAGCAAACTCAGTGGTCAAAAGAGCCCAAATCAGCAGCAGGACGATTAAACAAATTTTGCGAGCCAAATTTATTTTCAAGAACCTGTCAAGGACCATGTTTTTTGGAGTAAAAACCGCTTTGTAGTTGACTGGCCGAGCCGCAGTCTGGACGAGCCGCGGCTTGCCGACCACTGCTATAGTATCAGAGACTAGTAACTACCACAAGCTGTAAACAAAAATGGGGGGGGGGGNAAAAAAAAAAAGGGGGGGGGGGGGCAGTAGTAGCAGTAGTGATACAAAACTGTTTTATTGTATTAAAATCGTTGAGGGGATAGAGTCAGAGGCGTAGCGAGGGTGTCCCCCCCCCTGCCCCCCCCCCCTCACTACGCCTCTGGATAGAGCTGCTCTGCGAGATCTAAAATATTTTTTTTTATGCCACTGACTAAATCTTACACCTCTAGTTTTCTCTCTTCACAATCGCCGCGGTTCAGACGAACACACGCTTGCTAGCAGTAGCAGTCCAAGGAGGTGGTGAGTGAAGTTGTTGCCAGGCGACTAGCCTAAAGATTGCTGCTGATACAGCTAGCTAGTTCACTGTGACACGCAAAGCAACACTATGACAATCACTACCATCAATAGGATGCGTTGCGGTGATATTTTTATATCTTTTGAAACTCCCACCTACAGAGGCGTAGCGAAGGTGTTTGGCGCCCGGTTACAAGATTCGCGCCCGTGGACAAGATCCATTTTAAAGCGCCCCTTTTTTCTTTTTTTCAACTCTCAAACCCATTATTTTTACCAATAATATAATATTAAAGCACATTTTGGCGCCCCTAATTAGCTTGCGCCCGGGGACATCTCTACCCCCTGCCACACCCTCGCTACGCCTCTGCTCACCTATCCCACCCACCACCCGTGTTTCTGGTATGCCACCAATCTCTTTAATCAAGAACCGCCACCTCCCCTTTCAGTGCGTACATAATATAATGAAGGATGGTCCCAACTATAAAAAAATATACAAAAACCCATCGTTGTTCTCTGGGTCCATTCAATGCGGGGCCATAAGGGCTAAAGCTTCCACAACCGAAAATTTTAAATTGTTTTTTAATCGGACAAAATTACACAAATATTTTTTCACCGGGTCTCTGAAAATCGTAGTTTTGGCGGGTCTCGGCGTACAATCGTAAAAGACATCTAAAAATCGTACATTGTACGCCAAAATCGTAAGAGTAAACAGGTCTGATGATATGTTAGAATTAACATTGGCTTGTGCACTCAATTAGTTGGTAAACCTTATTTATCTGCAACCTAATGGTTTTTTTTAGCATCCCATTGACATGAGAATGACAGAAAATATCACAAAGCATTAAAAACATGTGATGTGCTAACAAACTTTCTTAAAACACATTACAAAAAGCCTTAAACAATATACAATTGAATAGGTTATGTAGCAGTAAAATGCAAGACTCCATTGCACTTTTTGCACAATCTTTTCTTTATCAATTTCCATTATCACTGATTTACCAGGTAAGTACCAGATAAGATGCTTACGTGTGAGTAAGTTCATGGTATTTAAGGTGATTCAACCATGCAAATTTTCTGTTGCAACCATCAAAAGAACACTGTAAAGGCTTGGGTTCAAATTCTTCATTGTAAACTGAACCATCGGTCACAGAGCTATCAGTTTGTATTTTTTCTGTGAAGCATAGAATAACACAATTTTAAATAATAAGTACATGCTTAACTAGTGGGGACTTACTAACCACAGTCTACTTTTAAAAAAAAAGTATGATATTTTGAAATATTTCTTCAACAATAATAATAAATATAAATTTGTCTACTTGCTCAAGTCATTTCTTATATTTGGGGTTTTAGTTTTACTAATGTCCAAGTAAAAAGATATGGTAATTCAAATATACTCCCACAAACTCAAAATGTTGTACTTGTGAATCATTTACTGTAAAAAAAATTATAACATGATTTTTTAAAGATAAACCTCCAGCCATTTTTGCCATTTAAATAACAGGCCATTTAGAGATGGATGTTATTGACACATGTGTGAAATATTTCTACATTATTTCTTTGATATGTGTTTTTAGTATTGGAGAAGTAGTACTTGTGTGTAACTATTTCAGGAGTTTTAACTTCTTTAGCTTTTATTGTTCTTAAAAAGAATATGTAACAGAATCCTTCTGTAAGCAAGAAATCTTGTACACAACATTGGAGTGAATTATTCACTGAAATGCAAATTTATCAATGGTTTTCTCTTCAAATAATACTTACTTTGGCTATCAGAATTTTCCCTTTTCACTTGTTTACATATCTTCTTATCTCTAGCTTTTACCGTTGATATTTGTTTGGAGTGAAGACTTTCTTCAGCCAACTGTTTGGCTATAACACGCTGAGTTGAGGCCACCAAATTTGCTGTAGCAAGGGCATGAACCTGCTCAAAACTTGGGACCACAGCCTGCAAAGTTTAAGTCAGGATTCTGAATGTGGGAATATTTACTTGAGGTCTGGTTGACAGAAAATTTATCCATAAAATACATGTCTCTTACTAATGTATTGACTGCTGTCTTGTAAAGTTAGATGAGCCAAGTAAGAAGAGATTCATTGGAAGTTGGAACAGACAGTTATTATCCTCTAAAGTTTATGAAAAAATACCTCTTTGCAGTTTGATGTTCCACAATTTGTTATCCCATGTTTAGAATGTGATTTGCCCATTATGACATTAGCCAACAGGGAATCTTTGCCTGGCATATTTGTAAGAACGAGTAGTGGTGCAGTTAGAGATGAAATCTGTTCCTAAAGTTCATGCAAGAGAAAGTTTATTTCACTTAAAAAATATAAATTCTTTATATTTTTAAATATTTCATAGGCTTCATAGTTAAATTGTACTTAATCATCACAGAAGAGAATAACTTTTTACTAAGTCAGAGAGGTAAGTCTCCATGATGATTAGTGTCACCGTTTGAGAAACAGTGCCTACTTTAATTTATATTACCATATGGAATATACTGATCATAAACTTTCTTTACTTTAATTTGAAATATTGATATGAATTACTCTTAGCTGATAGTAAAAGCCAACTCCATTTTGATAATAAAAAGATATGACAGATATGCAATTGTAATTCAAAATCTATGTATGCCCTAGATCACTGACCATAGATTTAACACTGACTAAAGCAATAGTATGGTAATACTGTAGCAAGATGTCACAAAATAATTTAAATCAGGGTAAAAAAAAAATAATTAGAAGTAAGAGTCTTGTTTTGGGGGTCAATTCCTATTCCTGTTAATCATGGACATACTGATTACCATTAATAAGTTATGTCTTATATCGGTGCATAAGAAAAATCAAAATGCATAACTCACTCTGTTATCTTGTTGCCTGGATAGAAGAGATGCCACAGCATTAAGCATAAAACAAGTTTTATCATCTCCATAAACAGATGATTCTACTTCTGTTCTTTTCTGTTCCATTTTCCACAGAGCTTGGTCATTTGTAAATCTTAAGATTATACTAGCTTGTGTTGAAAGGTTTCAATAACCTGTTATAGATAGAACAGACTTTGTTGTAATAAGTTGTAGGCAAAAAATTACTTGTAGAGCATTTTAATCAACAGATATTTTATTAATACAAAATATATAAAGTATAAAACATAATATAATTTATAATTATCAGGTTGCTGACATATTATGTAAGACCATATAATGGGTCATTTATGTCATTATGATAATTGACTCCCATAGTCTAATTTTATATAGTTTCATGCCTACATGTTAAGATAAATTATAAATTTATTTTGAATGAAATATGTTAAACCATAATTATTAAGTGGCCTGATATTATTGATAATAATAAGGCTGATAGGCTCTGTTTGTGTTTTTTGTGAAATTCTGTGAAAATGCCTTTTTTAGTTGTAAACTCAGCCTCACTCAAGTCTCATAGACATGGTTGAAAATTAATTCATAAATTCATACATCATAGGCTTCTTAATATTAGGACTTACTATGATTATTGTCACTTTAAGAGACATATTTTATATCTATAACTAGATCCATAAGGAAGATAGGTCTACCTAATAAAATTAATTTGTCATGAAGAAGTTTTTTAATATTTGAAGTTGTAATTCGTCTACTACTGCTTCCTATTATAATTATAAACTAATTAAATGTCCTAACCTTAGCCTTAGTCCTACTACTATTTAGTCTATTAGGCCTAGATTTTTAAAAAAATACTAATATGGGCTAGGGCTATCATATTTGTATAATTGTTGTGTGGCCTATAATTATAGTGTTTAATCTATTTTCTTAGGACTTATTGGGTGTACAGGTCATAACTACAAATGATAAATAAATCATAAATGATCAATTAAAGAGATGACTGTGACCAAGTTAGTGAGTGTGACACTACTAAATGTAACTGCTCACACTTACTGTGTGTATAGGCTATAGTACACTACACTTGTTACTGGGCCTACAGAATCAAAACCGAGCAAGTGATATGATTGTAGAATAACATTGTCATTATACACATGCCTGTATTATAACTTATTAACTTACGTAGGCCCTATAGCCTATAGCTTATTTAAAATTAAGCTTTATTTTGGCCTACACATTGTCACCCCCAACGAAAAACAAATTGTACAATTGAAATTGGCCAAAAATACCTCCACTTCAAATAAAGAAAAAATGCCACTCAGGGCGGACCACACTAATCCCCCATTTTTTCCCTTACACTTTTACACCATTAGCTACATCATACATGAAGAGGCCTAATATTTTTGTAATACTTAATATTCGCCTATAAGTTATAGTATTAAGAGTCATATAGTAGAGGCATGGGGCTGGCGGTGAATAGGTTATCCATTATTAATTTTAATTTATTTCATTATGACTATTATAATAAAGCCTATAACTATTGATGATTATCATTTTAGTATATACATTATAAAACATTATATTAACATTATAAAATTATATCATTTATAGTAATTAGTTATAGCTATAGCATACTATAGGCTATTTATAGTAGTTATAGTTTATTCTGTAGTCTGTAGACCACTGTAGACTATGTACTGAGTACTGGTTAATATTTTGGATAAACTTACTCATCATTCAACTCTATGCAGTTGATTATGAGTTTCAGTCATAGACTAACAGAGTTGATAAAAATTATGCTATTACTATTAAACTTGCATATTTGTAATGAATAACAATACAATGCAAGCAAAAAAAAAAAAAAAATGAAAAGTAAAGTGTCCAGACTGAGTTTTTGAGGTGACAGAGAATTTCAAATTTTTAGACAGTCGCTTGCATTTTATCAAATTATTTTTTTAATAGTAAAGATGGCATGCACCTTTAAATTTTTCTAAATTTGAAATTTGGATATTAACCTATTACAATCGTCTATGATTCAATATTTTAGATCGTCTAATGTATGTGACAATACCAAATGCTTATGATTGTTCGGATAGACTGAATCGGAAGTGGTTTAGGGTGGAATCAAACTAGCCTCGGACAATGGAAAGTTACCAAACTAAAAATAGAAATATCAACGGGGCTGTAATCTAAATTTAGCCTTAACTCTTAAAAGCCCAATTCAACGTGACGCGTTTTAAGACATTTCATTTTTCCAATTTGATTCATGCAGAATACACACATGGAGTTTATATAATTCATCTCCCTTGTTTAAATTAAATACTTTCTGCTATTTTAATATTGTTTATAATTGTACTCTTTTCTGATAAATTGCTATATTCCAATTTTTTTTGTTGTAATGCTATATTATGTCTCGGACAGAAACTAAGAAAGCGTAACTGTGCGTTACCTCGTTATTCTATTTATTTAAAAATAATTAATTGGGAAGAATTTTAATAGTTTACTCTTGAATCATGGAAACCATTAAATCTATAATTTTGTAAATACCATAAAGTAAAGTTTAACTGGTTATTTTAATTTTTTGCAGTTTTAAGAAATAATCCTAAAAATTCAAGATGTATTTTTATGTAAATAAGGTCGAGTATTCAGTCGAAAAGTAATTAAGCATTATTATAATAATCATCAAATTTCATCAAATAGCAATAACCAAAACTTATAATATTTTGAATATACCAATACCAAATGCTTAAGATTAAAACAATTTATCGCTCACATTCATGGAACAAAACATTATGTATTGTATTAACGGGTTTCTGTAACTAGCTTTAAATTATAAATTTTATAACATGATGTAGGTTCATTGTACGGTACATAAGTATATACTTATACCAGAAATTTAGTATATAAAAACTGAGAAAACACTGGAAGTTTAATATCACAAAAACTGTTAATGACTTTTCATAAAACAATAATAATTTTACACACAAAAAAAAAACCAAAAAAAAACAAAAACACTAAACTCATAGTCAGACGATACCACTAAATGCAACCTTACGGTGCGTATATCTAGTTGACAAAGGGTTAAATCTGTCCTTACTGTCAAACAGACCTCGAATTTGATTGGTTGAACATGGGTTTTTTTCCTTCGATAAAACAAAATATTTATTAACATTTAAGAAATAAAACTGGGGAAAAATGACATCAAACGTTTTAAAAACTCATCCTAATTCCTCAAACTGTGTTTTATTATGATTTATTGATTGAAAAATGCACAATGCCTTCTTAAACATTTTGTAATGAATGATAAACGTTAACCAATGAACAACGAGTTAACAAATGGCAACAACAATTACGGAAAATTACGGAAATCTTGATTATCAACTGATTAAGAAAATTGACAATCTAAACTTTTTCCGACAACAATTTCAATCTTTCTATACCAAATATTGTTTTTATTTTTGTCATTTTCATAAAATAATTGCTATTTTCTAATATTTTCTTTTTTTCCGAGTCCTTCCGGACTTTCGGCATATGGCGAACATGTTCCAGTTCCAACCGGTTTACAAGATTGGGTGTTTTCTTCAGAATTCGGACAGCTTTGTAAGAAGGCTGACGTACAGGTGAGAATTGAGTGAAATTGTGATAATAACATAGGAAGTGACTTATAATCTTGTTTCAGATATTTGTTGAGTAAATAATAAGTATATTAAATGGGCGCCGCCATATTTGGACGATGTAAACAACGGAAGTATTGGTAACTTTAAACTAAGCAACAGCCATGTGTCATGTGACCCCCACCCTCCCGCGACTATTTGACACGAGGGTGTTCTTATAAGTAAAAGTGAAAGGAGAAAAAGAGACATTAAATGAAAACCCCAAAAAAAAAAAAAGCAAAATATGTGAAGTAAGAAGAATACATAAGAAGTCGGAAAAAAAATGTATAACTAGCAAAATCATGATTAAAAGCAACAACACATTGGCCTAACCTATTTGACACGAGGGTGTTCTTAAAAGTAAAAGTGAAAGAAGAAAAAGAGAAATAAAATGAAAACCCCAAAAAAAAAAAAAGCAAAATATGTGAAGTAAGATGAATACATAAGATGTCGGAAAAAACATGTATAACTCGCAGAATCATGATTAAAAGCAACAACACATTGGCCTAACCGTAACCCATGCCATAATCTAAGTCTAATGATATTCAATCCACGCTGATGATAAAATAAAAATAGGTCTGTTTACCGTACGCTAACTCAACTAGTAGAGGCCTGGGCCTGTTAATTTATTATTATTATAATGCCTTGCAATACTCTTTAGGCTTAGCCCAATCTAATAAGTCACAATTTAATAAGGGGCAAAATATAGTCCGTTAAACTAACTTAACTTTAAGATTTTGATATGTAGTAAATTATTAGTTTATAGTTATAGTAAATATTAGTAGTCTTACCAATTTACTAATTAGTAAATAAAATAAGCCTTAAATTAAAACGCCTTAAATAATAAGGGAAAGTTTACACAATGACAAGCCCTATGTTTTTACAACCATGACCATACTATCATTATGGGGATTGTGTTTAGTAGTAAAGTCTATTTACTTACTGGACTTTTAACTTATGAGCTGAAATTTTTCGAAGCATTTATTAATGTAAAAATATAATATTAATTAATATAGGCAGTGTCTAAACGTCCGGCGCGCCAGACGTATATCTCCCGCACTATTTGTCCGGAGTTATTCGTCTAGCGACCAAGTCACATGACTGCCGTGCCGTAACAAAGTGGCAAGAGATATTTTGTCCATCAGCCTTGTCAAGTGACCGCGAATGATTCAAATCTATTGTTAATTTTAAAATCTATTTCTCTACCAAGTAATGTACTGAGTCTGAGTATCTTGCATGCAAATAATAGAGAAAAACTGAAATGAAAGTGGCTTGTAAACATTTTTGTTTAATTTGTTGAGTCTTGAGTAATCCATAAAATTTATTAGGGGCCAGTATTCAGTATGGAGTAGGCAACCAATAAAAGTAAAAGATTTCAGTTTAAATTGCTACAAAATATTTTAAAACTTCTCATAAAACTACTGTTGCTGATGAACATGATAATATAAATAGAAAATAAAATATTTTTAATTAAATGGAGAAAAAAACACAATCCCATACTGGGCATTGACCCACAAACATAATATCGTCAAGTGACCACTCTACCACGAGACCACACAAGATCTTCTATAAAGCCACTTTGTTCGGAATAATAATGAATACTAGTCATCCGGCGGTCATGTGACATGCCCGCCGGACGTTTATCACGCACACTATTTGTCAGGCGCGCCGGACGTGTAGGCACTTCGATTAATATATGCACAGGTTTTTCCAAATCAATGCATTCGTAGGTCACAGGTTTATTACCTTATTATATTAAACTTATTTTAGCAGGCAAGTGTTTCCCAATGTGCTGCTTATTCCCTTAAGCCTTAAGGGATCAATTGAATGTGGAGTTATTTACTATTTGAGTTTGTTGGGAGTTTTTGTTGTTGAAAAAGAGGGCTGGTGGCATCATACCAAGTGCTCATGTTGGGAAACACTGCTGTCTGCAGGTCTATTATATTATTAACTAATTATAGCAAAAAATATTATGTATGAAGAGAATCAGAAAAATAAAAATTCCTGTTTTGCATGTTCTTCATAGATTCTTCTTATGTTTCACAAATGAGAATGAAAATGGCGACTTTAACAGAACAAGCTGAAAAGTTACTTGATTTTACACAGAAATTAGACATTCAGTTACTAGATAACATTGTTTCATGCATGTACACAGCAGATGGCCAACAGGTGAGTCTTTATTTCAAAGATATATTAATATTAAACTTAGCCTTAAGTTTTCCGTAACTATTCACAAAACTATATTGTCTGGATGATACCTATTACTATTACTATTAACTTGTTTTAAAATGTTTTCCTATACTAAAAAACAAACTGATGCATGGCAATTAAATTATTTTCTTGAAATATCCTTTTAGCAACGGATGGCCCAAGAGGTCTTGACAACACTTAAAGAACATCCAGATGCGTGGACAAGAGTGGATACAATTTTAGAATTTTCAAACAACCAACAAACTAAATATTATGCTTTACAAATACTTGAAAATGTCATCAAGACAAGATGGAAGGTTTTACCTCGTGCCCAGTGTGAAGGTATAAAGCTAAATTGTAAAAAAGTATTTGGCAGATTTGTTTTTCTTTTTAAAGTTATTATTTTAATAAATGTTCATTAATGTGTCAATATTATCTGCTAGTGTTAATATTGTTGGATATATTTCAGGTATAAAGAAGTACATTGTGGGATTAATAATCAAAACTTCATCTGATGCACTCCTTTTGGAAAGAGAGAAAGTATATGTTGGAAAGTTGAACATGATTCTGGTCCAGGTAGCTATATGCTTTTTAATTTATCAAAAATAGAGTTACCATTCACTATTGACAGTGTTAGTTTTTAAAGTGCTTTATATACTCATTTTTAACTATACTTTGCATACACATTAATTATGAGCCCCGTTTTTTAATGTAAAGCATTGAGTTTTACATGATGGGGTGCCAAAATTTGATGTATCAATAATCTACCTTGAATTTTTAATCCAATTCACAAGATGTCAAAATTTGTCCCATTAAGGCACTTATAATATTTAGTTACCAATTATTGTGGGTCTTCTGATCACAGATGCATACTGCATATTTAAAACTAATTTTCAATACTACTCAGATCCTAAAATATGAATGGCCACGGAACTGGCCCACGTTCATCAGTGACATCATTGGAGCTAGTAAAACTAACGAGTCTCTTTGTCAAAATAATATGGCTATACTCAAATTGCTTAGGTATGTTTATATTTTAAATTAAAAGGTTTTTAAAATTGTTGATTTTTATATTTATGATTTAGTCCTCACTTACATTACAGTTATTTACATATGCAGTTTATTTGCCCTTTAACAAAAAATGCCTTAGAATTTTTACTTACTACCCATAATGTGATTGGATGTGTAGAGTAAATGAAAAAAAATGTGGAGCTGTTTAAAAAAGTTATTTTATTGTCTTGTTGCTCTAATATTAATTATCTTTAGTAAAATTTATGTTGAATAGTTGCGAAGCATTAAAAAAATTAAATAAAATCAGTGATATGGCTATGAGACTGGAAAAAAAATATTTGTATTTGGCTACTTTCTTCTCTTTTTTTTATTTTTTATTTTGGTTTACTTGAATCTGGAAACTTTTTCAAAAATTTCCAGTGAGGAAGTTTTTGACTTCTCAAGTGGCCAGATGACACAAGCAAAGGCTAAGCACTTGAAGGATACTATGTGTAGTGAATTTTCTCAAATATTTCAACTTTGTCAATTTGTTATGGTAAGCTTGAAATGATCAGTACAATTGTTTTTTGTAAGTTAAATAAGAGTTTAACATTTTTTTTTTAAAAAGAAGACGGCACAAAAAATTTAACTATATTTATGTTGGAGCCACACTGCCACTATTTAATTAAAGAAAGATTGGTTTTTATGATGGTTCTCTATATTTGTTTTGCGAGTAAAGAAATTATTTTTTTTATTACGAGTGTGAATGAAAATTCATTTGGTATGTAAAAGTACTGACAGGTCAATATTTGATGCCTTAATATTAATTAAAACTGTTGTATTTCTTTATTCTTTTTCAGGATAACAGCCAAAATGCACCACTGGTTGGTGCAACACTTGAAACACTTTTAAGATTTCTCAATTGGATACCTTTAGGCTACATATTTGAAACCAAACTGATTACCACGCTAATTTACAAGGTAAGTTATTTTTTTATATATAATTTGATGTCATATACTATTTCTTTAATTCAAGGGTTTGAGGTGTATGCTCTGTTTATTTTTTAAAAACAGAAAACTAATTTTTTTAGTTTAATCTTCTCTCTTTTTGAAAAAATCTGGAAATGTGTTAGTCATTTTTATCTGTTGTCTTCTGCATTTCAGTTTCTCAATGTTCCCATGTTCAGAAATATAACAATGAAATGTTTAACAGAAATAGGTGAGTTTCCTTCTTAGTGGTGAGACTTACTTTCATAAATATCTGCAGAATTTCTCCTTGAGTAAATAGTTTAATAAAATCTTTTAAATAAATGATGCATTTAATATAAATCAGCACGTGAATAGTTTTAAAGATAGTGGCAGGAGTGTTTTAACACATTAAACTTTTTTTTTAAATTGTAGCTGGTGTGCAAGCTTCACAGAGCTATGATGAACAGTTTCTGCAGCTTTTCACACTTGGAATGAATCAGTTAAAGCAGGTAAATTTTCAATTAAAAGCACTTATTTCACCTAAGATATGTTATTTATTACCACTTTTATAATATCTGTATTTTACATCAGCATTTGTCATAAATTTTTGTCTTCTACCTTTGAATAATTTCTTTTATCTCTTATTTTAAAGATGCTTCCGTTGGAGACAAATATAAAGGAAGCTTATCAAGGTGGCACAGATGATGAACAGAACTTTATTCAAAACCTCAGTTTATTCTTGTGCACATTCCTTAAAGAACATGCTCAGCTCATTGAAAAGAAACAAGAGTTAAATATATTGCTAATGGAGGTATGTTTTCTTAGAATTATTTAACATTCATTTGTTTATTTTATCTGGTTGCTATATTTAATTTCCATTGTAACTTGTAGTAAGGTTCCATTGTAACTTGTAGTAAAAGTAGGTAACAATTTTATATTTCTATCCTTCACAGGCCTTACACTACCTGATCCTCATTTCTCATGTCGAAGAAGTTGAAATTTTTAAAATCTGCTTGGAATACTGGAGTTCTCTTGCATCTGAACTTTACAGAGAAAACCCATTTTCGGATTCATCTTCAACACCACTCATATTTTCTCAGATGCGTTCCCAAACCCAGGAAATGCCAGTTCGCAGACAGCTTTATAATCCAGTTCTTTCAAAGGTGGCTCATAAAAAATGTTTTAACATTTCAGTATTCAGTGTAACTTCTCATTCTATAATGTTTACTGGTAAAACATTTATGATCATAAGAAACATGTACATTTAGCTAAGATTTCCTGTTGTTATTATTTATATTTAATGTTTAAGAATTATTTTTTTTTAATGTGTTATGGTGGCGCTGTAATCTCACCTTTGCATATATCCATTATACAATTTTAATTCAAAAACATTTGAGGGTTATAAAATCAGTTTTTTGAATGGAGAAGTTTTTTGTACTGTTGCTTCCAGCACCTCATGTTATGATTTGAGCTTATTTTAATTATTATTTAAAAAGAACTGAAATACTTTCAGGTTCGTTTGGTTATGATATCTCGAATGGCTAAACCAGAAGAGGTACTTGTGGTTGAAAATGATCAAGGAGAGGTAGTAAGAGAATTTATGAAAGACACAGACTCTATCAACTTGTATAAAAATATGCGAGAAACCTTGGGTAAATGTTTATTATATATTTTATTAGTCTAATGCAATTCACAGCAATGTATATTTTGCCATTACTTTTAAGTTATACACCAACAACCTATTACCATATTTGCAGTGAAAAAGACACAATATTTATGTGGATGAACAGAGTAACTTTTAATTTGAAACTAATGTGATAAAGTTATCATATTTTAAAGAATGTTAATTTCACTTCAATTGAAATGTTTTTTCTGTTTTCAGTGTACCTTACTCATTTGGATTACACGGATACTGAAAACATAATGACGGAGAAATTACACAACCAAGTCAATGGAACTGAGTGGTCATGGAAAAATTTAAATACTGTATGTTTATCTTCACTCTATAAGTTTTCTAGAATAACATTTGCTTTCATTAGAAAATGTTCTCATTTTTAGAAATAGTATTTAATTTCTATGCCTAAATATATCCATTTTTTCGTTTGAAATATAATTGGTAACATTTGTTTAACAGATCTGCTGGGCCATTGGATCAATTAGTGGTGCTATGCACGAAGATGATGAAAAGAGATTTTTAGTAACAGTTATTAAGGTGAATATTTTGATCACTGAAATTTTAACACTTATACCACCATATTGTTTATTTATTTATATTTTTTGTGTGTGCTGAAAATCATACAATGATGCATATTGATTTTTAATTTTGTCAAATATATTTTTTTTCTTTATTCTTTCTAGGATTTGTTGGGTTTATGTGAACAGAAAAGGGGTAAAGATAATAAAGCCATCATTGCATCTAACATAATGTATGTTGTTGGACAGTATCCTCGTTTTCTAAGGGCACATTGGAGATTTTTAAAGACGGTGGTCAACAAACTTTTTGAATTTATGCATGGTAAATATTCCCAGTTTGCTATATTCCAATTTTTGTTGTTGTAATGCTATATTATGTCTCGGACAGAAACTAAGAAAGCGTAACTGTGCGTTACCTCGTTATTCTATTTATTTAAAAATAATTAATTGGGAAGAATTTTAATAGTTTACTCTTGAATCATGGAAACCATTAAATCTATAATTTTTGTAAATACCATAAAGTAAAGTTTAACTGGTTATTTTAATTTTTTGCAGTTTTAAGAAATAATCCTAAAAATTCAAGATGTATTTTTATGTAAATAAGGTCTAGATTGCTGCCATATTCTTAGTGTTACTTAATTTTATAATGATTTGATAAGGGGAAATAATTTATTATATAATTATGCAAGCAAAAAGGCTATGTTTATCAGTCTTAACAAAATTTTAATTCATTATCGGTTTTTGATAGTTTTAATTGGGTTTGTTGTACATGTACCATTCAAAAAGTAACCCAACTAATTTTTTTATCTACAGAGACTCATGATGGTGTTCAAGACATGGCATGTGATACTTTTATAAAAATAGCCCAAAAATGTCGGCGTCATTTTGTACAGGTGCAAGTAGGGGAAGTTATGCCATTTATTGAGGAAATTCTTAATGGAATTAACACAATTATCTGTGATTTACAGCCACAGCAGGTTTGTTACTTTATTTTACTTCATAGTTTATTTTAAATGTTCAGATTTTGTAGTCAGTTTCTTTTTTTCATTAATGCAATGCTCATTTATTACTTAGCTAAATTCATAAATTGTTTCAGGTGCATACGTTTTATGAAGCTGTTGGTCTGATGATAGGTGCTCAAGTTGATCAGGTGGCTCAGGAACATCTAATTGAACGCTACATGTTACTGCCAAATCAGGTATTCCATTTTAAAAAATTGTTTCTTTTTTAAAAAAACTATTTCAAAAGTTAAATTTGTAGCTAAGTTTTCGATATACTTCCAAAATAAGTGTTGCAATAACCTTTATATAGTTTGGTGGGTTTTTTTTTGGAGGGGGGGGGTGTGTTTGCTGTCGTAAAATCAGACCTATTCGTCTATTTCTAGTTGACCACTTGCATGAAACACTTTCATTTTGTATTAAAATTCTGTTTTGCTGAATACTATGCTTTATCGTCTTTAAATTAAACTTTGTTTTGAATATTTTGTATCAGGTGTGGGATGGCATCATCAACCAGGCGACACACAATGTTCAGGTGCTTAAAGATCCAGAAGCTGTTAAACAGCTGGCAAACATCTTAAAGACTAATGTAAGAGCTTGCAAAGCTTTGGGGCATCCCTATGTAGTTCAGCTTGGCCGTATCTATCTGGATATGTTAAATGTATACAAGGTTAGTTGACTGTTTTATATGTGGGTGTTAAATAGAGTAATGTCCTATATATATATATATAGTATTAACAATTTAAATTTCAGTAATTTTTTTGTATTGGCTAAATTTAAAACACCTCCATTTTTTTTTACTAGGTTATGAGTGAAAATATTAGTAGTGCCATTGCCACAAACGGAGAGAGTGTAACCAAACAGCCACTGATTAGATCTATGAGAACCGTTAAAAAAGAGACACTCAAGTTGATCTCTGGATGGGTCAATCGATCCAATGATCCTCAAATGGTAAGTAACAGCTAATAGTTGTCTATGAGAGGTTCTGAGTTATTATTTAGAGTTGTTGATTGATTCATATAGCTTAAATGTAACATTACATTAACTTATTGATGACATTAATGACCTTAAGTAATTCAATAATTCAGTGGGGGTTTTTTATTCTCTCTTTAGGTAGCTGATAACTTTATATTGCCCCTATTGGAGGCTGTGTTGCTGGATTATCAAAGGAACGTTCCAGCTGCCAGAGAGCCAGAAGTTCTTAGCACAATGGCTACCATTGTCAATAGTCTAAAGGTACAGCATTAACTTTTCTGTTCAACAAGCATTTAACTTAAATTATAATTTTTTTCTTATTTTTTTTTTAGAGAGAAAGCTAAATCTGGTGCTATAATACTATGATGAATTTTTTTTTTTTCCCCATTTCTTTTCAGTCTCACATAACCAAGGATATCCCACAAATTTTTGATGCTGTTTTTGAATGCACTCTGACTATGATCAACAAGGTAAAGATATAGATTTTTACCTTAAGTAGATAAGTATTTGTTATTAATTGTGTCTTTACTTTTAATAATTTCATAATAAAATGTTAACCTTCCAAATTTTTACTTAGAATTGTTTTCTTTTCGTTAGGATTTTGAAGAGTTCCCTGAACACAGAACAAATTTTTTCTTGTTATTGCAAGCTGTCACACAACATAGTTTCCAAGGTCAGTTTTTCTATTTAAAACAACATATTTTTATATGTTAATTAGCCCATGCGTTATTTATTATTCCTTCATGAACAAAATATTTTTAAAAATTGTTTCAAGTTTTTAAATTAAATAGTGCATTAAAGAATTTAAAACGGGTGGGCAATCCAAAAGGCTTTGTGGGCTGCATGTCATTATATCCAAAGTTATTTTTATTTGTTTTTCAAACTCCCACTACGTGCTGTTTGTCTTTTTTAAGTGCATAATAAAATGCTAAATGAACAGAATAAAATTAAACTTGTGTAGTATTATTTTTCTTTTGTATTTTTGAATTGACTTTTCAGGTGAATGGAGAGGGAGTAACTTTTTTTGTGTTAAATAAAAATATAATTTAAATTGCACTTTCTTTTTGGTCAAACAAATGAGGTTTTTAAAGAACCATTTTACTTTGCTATATCCAGATATTGATATTGTTCTGAAATCATGGCCATTTATACTTAATCTTTAATTCTATTTTCTTTAACAGCTTTGCTGAACATACCTCCAGCTCAGTTCAAACTGGTTCTGGACTCTATCATTTGGGCTTTCAAGCACACAATGCGCAATGTTGCGGACACTGGCTTGGATATTCTTTATGTTTTGCTTCAGAACATTTCACGAGAAGAAGGAACAGCACAGAGCTTTTATCAGACATACTTCACAGACATTCTTCAACATTTGTTTTCAGTTATAACTGACAGTTCTCATACTGCTGGTATGCTCATTATTAGTGGAAGTTTAATGATCAATCAATTGATTTTTGCATTATTTATAATTCGATTTGATAACAATACTTCAAACATGGGTACTTAGGAGGAAATACAATTTTTATTTCAAGACTTAATGATTTTAATTATATAAGAATTTAGTTGCAATTTAGTTGTAATTTTATTGGATTTTGGATCTTAAATAAAAATAAAAGATTATTCTTTGACAGGTCTCACAATGCAAGCTACTATTTTGGCGTATATGTTCAACCTGTTAGAGCATGGGAAAATCACAGTGCAGCTAAATCCTAATATGCCAGCTGCACAAAACATTGTTTATGTGCAGGAATTTCTACTTTCTCTTCTCAAGACTGCATTTCCTCATCTTAATGAGTATGTATCAGTTAAGATTATTCTCAAATACTTTATCGTATTTCTTAATTTTGGATGTAAGGAATCTGTTTAGGGGAATAAGATCCAACACTTTCTTTCCTTCTCTATGAGCAAGGTCAGTTTTAGGGCTTATGAGCGCAAAAGTAACATACTGGGACAATTCTTAACAGAAATTGGTATTAACTAAAAGTTGAAGTTCATGTCTGATATATTGAACAGTCTCACCTTGTACTATTCGAATTGTTATGTTGTTTTTAAGAGAAGGAAAGAACGTAATAAAGTTATAGTTGATTATATTAAATATTGGAAACAGTTAAGCTTCAAATTTAAGAGCAATGGCACTTTCTTTTACCAGGCAGCAGATCAAGATTTTTATAGAGGGTCTTTTCAGCTTTGATCAGGAATGTAATGCCCTGAAAGAACACTTAAGGGACTTTTTGGTCCAAATAAGAGTAAGTATTTTAACATGAGTGGCATGAAAGGTTAAAGTCCTTTCTTTAAATATATTTTTCAACAAAAATATGTCATGACATTTATTCAAATATATTTTATGTATTTTTTTGTTTACATTTCTAATGCTTTGCTTGACTTTAATATTTTTTCCATCTCTTTCACTTTAAAAAAGAAAATTAATCATTTTTCTCCTTTAGGAATTTGCTGGAGAGGATATGGATGATCTATTCTTGGAGGAAAGGGAAAATGCTATCAGGAATGCTCAGGATGAGAAACGCAAACAGCAATTGGCAGTGCCTGGTATTGTTGGCCCCCACGAAGTACCAGAGGAGATGCAGGATTAAAAATGACTTTTTTGGAGAGATAGCATTTATAGGCACATTGGGTGTGTGACCACTCTTTGCCATCTAACAGGATATATATGTGCATGTGTCAACCACAGATACATTTTCTTTTTGACAATGGTGTTCAGCCTTTTAGGTTTTAATCCGTACAGTAGATGTACTAATTATATAAATGTACACATTTCAATAGTTTAATCAGCAGTTTCTTGAAACTCTCGTAAACCAGGAATATTTTTTCGTGTCATTGGCTGTCTCTCCTTAGCTTAGGCTGTAAGTACCCATAGTTTAATAATGATTGTGTTAGTTTTTTTGGGTTTTTTTTTTTTACTTTTATGTTGGTTTATTTTATCAGTGTTAGACATCCACCCCATAACCTATTTTTCATTCACAATTAACTAATGAAACTCAGTTTGACATATACTAATTCAGTGAAATATTTTATTTCATTATTTCTGGTTTCTTTATTTTGCTCTCCTTGACCATCTACTAAAACATCCTGAAACTTGGTACTACAGCTTGCATATGTCTACAGCATTTTCATAGTCTAGCAGCAATACATTAATTTTTTTGATCTGATACACTTTTATATCGTTTTCCCCCATTATTAGAAAGTCCATTCTGCCTATATGTATATATTGTAAATATGTTTCAATGTCCAAAGCTTGCTTATTTATGAAATTGTTTCTGTCTTGTTAGAGACCTTTGAATTATAATTGTCATAGTTTAGCTCATGTGGTTGTCATCCCTATTGTGTTTGGTAACAAGAGGACATTTTAGAGCTCCTTTACCACCCTGAGTAATGCATTGAATGAAGACAGCTGCATATGCTCTTGTCATTAAATCTGATCTGGGCATACCTATGTGTCTGTGATCTCTGATCAAGCCAGTAATCTAGTCGTGACTAACCTTTGTTGATGATAACTTATGTCTTCATTACTTTGTAATGCATTTGTTTTGTAAGCTAAGAATCATTTTCAGAATCATATTACCCAAAATGTTAATGATTTATGATAGGAATTTCCATGTGAATTCTTTAGTCACTATGACAATCAGAGATACCATAACATTTGTGGCACATTTGTTACTACTCAGCTTCTTATGGTATTATTTTCAATCATTTGTCTAATACTGTACAAATAATTATTTTGGTGCTGATTGGATCTTGGCATTTTGTAGTAAATGTTAATGAATATGTGAATGTACATAACTAAGTATGACAAATAATTTTCCCAGTGTGAAATATAACTTCTGAATGATTTTTGTATGGCATTGTTTTATAGTTTAGTTGCTAGAAAATATATTAAGTGCTGTAGAATGGGCTGTCAAAGAAAAGCTCCGTAATTTTATTTTCCTTTCAATTGCATTGCAAAGAAGTCCAGACTTTGGTCCAGCTATTTGTATATGACAAATGTTTTTTTTAAATATTTCATGATATCCGCTATTTTGGTACGGTATATGGGGTTAGAGCAAATCAGCATTATTAAAGAAAAAATTATTTCTTTTTCAGATGTTCATTTAAGAAGTGCAAAGTTGATATTTTCTATGGCTCTTTTTTTCCTTTTCTCTAGGGTAATATTAAATTAGATTATTTTGATACCTACACAGAAGGTTAATAGATTTGTAACTTTTTAAAAAAATTAGCTTAATGTGATTCTAATTGGGACTGGCAGTGTTAAATGCTTGTGTTGTTGATCATGTTCAAGTATTATAGTTTCACATCACTTTATGTGATCAAACTGTCCGATCTATTATTGTTATACATATTTATTTATCAGGTCTCAAATCTAGTTTCATATGAAGGCAAACAGCCTTATGTACAGTTTAATGCTTTGATTTTCAACATTTTTTCAAATTTCAGTCCATAAGTACTATGTACTTGCATACAAATTTTTCATAACTCACCTAGCAATACCTTGCAGCATGTAGGAAGCAATTTTCAACCTGTACAGTGATCTGTTCTTCATTACCATGTATTGTTTGCTATCCAATAACACTTGTTGCCATCTGTGTGGAATTAGATTTTTTTTAAAGATGAGAATAAACGTTTTTAACATGATTGTGGTAAAGTTATTTTGTCAGGAAGTGAGTAGCGTGTGACTGTCTTGATGTAGCTTGTATAGTACTTGAATAGTGCTTTAACATCAAACAAGTTTTAAAAATTAGTCACAGGCAGTAGGATTTCAATATGTCCATGAAAATAAGATTTATTTTTAATTGCAAAAGTTCATTTATTCAGTCCCTTGGTACCATTAACCAAGTTTTTGTGTGTGCAGTTTTGGGATTTGACAACCTAACATTCCCCTTCTCCCCCCCCCCCCCCCCCCCCCCCCTCTCAACGTTACCACTAGACAGGTAAATGTCAAGTATTTATCATGTTCGGTTTGTTATACTAATACAGATTAATATAAAGGATCCACCGATATTGCCTCCAACCTTCAGAAATTTTAAATATATGAATAAAATGAGCTGTTTATGTAAATAAAATTTCCCAGGGATAGAAAAGACTATCAAGTCAAGCGTTAGTCAAATAGTCATTAAAAAAAACAACTTATTATTCTATTCAAACAGAATTCAATGTCCCTCCATCATGTAATGCTGTGTCAAACAGATATGTGTCCTTGGGCGCCCCGCAGTATTTTTTAGTGGTCTATGGTGTTTTTTCTCAATTTATTTGGGGGAGGGGGTTGTCACCTGATAACACCCATGTGTGTTGAAAAAGGTCAAGACTATCTCATTGAAGAAGAATTTAGTTTCACAATGAACACGCATCATTCAGTAGTAAGTATATTGATGCCATTGCAAAGCTACAGGAATATTTTGCTGGACATGCAAAAAACTGAAGTAGTATACATTATCGCAATCTATGTGTTAAGTTAAAGAATAAAGGTGAAAAAAGGGGGTGAGATGAGCACTGTTTATTTCTTGAACGGTTTGGGGGGGGGGGGGAGACAAACCCCACTCAGAGGAAAATGTGTACAAGAACAAAGCAAATATATAATATTATATATATTCTATTTTGAAAAAAAAAAACAAAATTGACAAACCCCACTCAGAGGAAAATGTGTACAAGAACAAAGCAAATATATAATATTATATATATTCTATTTTGAAAAAAAAAAACTAAATTGTTATTTTTTTAGCTATTTCAATAAAAATGAGTGAGATAGTGGATCAAATGAAATATTGCTGCTACGCTCAATATATTTGATGATCGATAGATTTAGCCTTAATGCTTGTGGCTCTAGTCGGCATGTTTCTCCTAAAAATGGCATGTCTATCAAAAGGCGTTTGGCCTCAACCCCCGAGACGCTACCCAAGGGACATTACCACCGTGATGGGGATGTGACCTGAAAGGCAAGGGTAACGCACGGAAACTGTGATAGAACGAGCACGACTGCATGGCTTCCTACCAAGTGCAGTTGAAAATAACGCAGATAGAGGTTGGGACATGATTACAGTTGCCACATGGATATGAGGTTAAGGCGTGTGGCAACCTTTCACTCGATGATTCTAACTATGCAGTCTTGAGGGTACTGCTCCCAGGCAACCTCCCTCTCCCATCTACGGTGTGAGCTAGTCACGCCGCAGAATAACCATCCAAACCCTATTATAGGGTGTCGGTACAAACAATTGCGCGTCCCCCTGGGGTGGCAAGGGGGGGGGGGGCTTAGAGACGTTAAATATATCCACCCCAACCCCGGCCCGGTTGCTGTGAGAGCATCAGCCCCGCTGGCCAGGTGTTTCTTCTCTGGTGTTACCATCCAAACCCTATTATAGGGTGTCGGTACAAACAATGGCGCGTCCCCCTGGGGTGGCAAGGGGGGGGGGGGCTTAGAGACGTTAAATATATCCACCCCAACCCCGGCCCGGTTGCTGTGAGAGCATCAGCCCCGCTGGCCAGGTGTTTCTTCTCTGGTGCCGCCTCATCCACATTGCCAATCGGGTGGAAGGGTGGGTGTGACTGTTTCGGGGGCGAAATTCCCTGGCGTGCCGCTTCGCGGCCCGATCGGAATAAAGACCACGGGGGAGTGGTTGATGGCCGGTTGGGTTGGCGGGGTGGGACGTCGTCGGGGGAGACCATATGAGCCTCGGCTCGGTGTCTGCTGATTTTCTTAAGTAAGTTAGTTAGTCTAATGTAAATCTAGATACCTGTACAGTATTCGATTCTAAAAATACCGTTACCGTATAATTGTTTTAAAAATAGGCTGCTCTTTATTTTAAGCCGCACTATTACTTCTCGTTGTTCACGTATATCGGTACTATTTAAACATTATTTTTTGCTACCAGAGGGGCGGGCAAGTTACCTACCCGCACCACTCCCCGGAGAAACACGTTTTCAAAAATAAAACGAACTTACAATTTTTTGAAGAAAAAAAACCCACGAATATATCTACATTTAACCTATTAAGATACGGGAAATAGAACCAATGAAAAATCGATAAGCTTTTATATCCCTTTATATATCCCCGTAGAACTATATAGAAATTTTAGGAACATTGCAGATAAAAAAATTTAATAACCTCCTCCAAACATTTAAGCAATAACTTTGTAATTAATTATTTTTTAAACTCCAAAATTATACAACTAAATGCACTGCTATAGCTATAATACATTTAAGCTAAAAGAGGGGGGCCCTTTCCATAATTTTACCGAATCAGTTTTGCCTGAGATGGGGAACCCCATAACTATCATTCAAATAAATTATGGTGTTAAAATTAAAAATGTGTCCGATTAAAATTGGTTTAAAAATGCCGATGATATAGCTTTTTAAAGTTATCGAACTTTCAGGAACATTCTAGATTGAATATTCTTAGTTTTAAATCCACCGATATTTCATTACGGACAATGAAGGGTATTGGTACCACGCTAGGGCTATATCCATCAATTCACATATAAACTATAGAGTTGTCTAAACCTATTGATATTTATAAAGCTTAAATTAAGAAAATGAAATGCGATCCCCTGCCCCAGAGGGATGGATATTAAGAGTTCAGTACCCTTCGGTATTTAAGTGTATATGTACCGAGTTTTTTCAATATCCATCCATTCATGTAGAAGAATTAATTAAGCCTATGGACCTATAGAACTTTCTGGAAATTCTAGATTAAATGTAACATTCTCCTATAAACGTGTAAAAAATGTCTTTTCTAAGTAATTATTTTCCGAATACGAAAAATTATACAACTAAATGGATTACTATAACTATAGTACATTTTTAAGTTGAAAGAGGGGCCCGGGGGGGGGGGCACATTCCATAATTGTAACGAATTAGTTTTGCCTGAGATGGGGCCCTATAAAAATCATTCAGATAAGTTATGATGTTAAAATTGAAACGTCCCATTCAAATGTATTTAAAAATGCCGTAGATAAAGCTTTTTAAAATTATCGAACTTTCTGGAAAATTCTGTATTGGATATTATTAGTTTTTAATCCACCGATATTTCAATACGGACATGAAGTGTATTACTACCACGCTAGGCTTATAGCCATCAATTCACATATAAATTATAGTGATGTCTAAGCCTATTGATATTTATATATATGTTACCGGCAATGTGTGAAATGCAGGCATTGTATAGAATGCCTGGCGGTTTTAGGCAAAGTATGAAATATTTTATTTTCGTGATTAAGATGCATACTTTGCCTAGGCATTTTATACATTGCCTAGGTATTATATATAATGACAAATATACTTCAGGCAAAGTTTAAAAAGAGCGTAAAGAATTTTTTTTTTAATTGGTAAAAAACACATTTGAATACGAAAGATAACAATAAAACTGGAAAGCAAAGGTGTCATTGAGCTACTTGTTGCAGCAAATAAGGCTGGAGTGGCATTTTGAATTGCACTTAATTTTCTTTTTCAAACAAAGACACTTCATGTTTTGGCACCTGGTATTGCACATACACCTCATGTAGCCTTGACCGCTTCCTGTTGACTGAGAGATAGCAGCAGATCGGAGAGGTATTTCATAAGCCGGGACGTCTTCAACTCTCAATAAATCTTTTGGACATACAGCGAACTGTGATCTAGAATACAATTGTTTCAAGATTCCTTGTGCAGTTCCAAGTCGGTAAAAGCCGTCTTCTGTATCTGTCATAACAACTGCCAACAGATTGCGCGAGTCACCTCGTCCCTTGTCAACGTCAGGAATAGGAACTCGCACAGTGGCTCCTAAAGGTGCAGGCGGGAACTTTTTGACAGAGTTTATTTTCATTTTTTTGGCCTGGATTTCAAGGTTCGATTTAGATTCTTTTCTAGCCTCTATAGCTCTCTTCATCTTGAAACACAAGCTGCACAAAATACCAACACTATAACCTTCTATTTCCTCGTCTCCATCGTCTTTAGCACCATGTCCACAGATCACATGAACATTACGGTGACAGTTTCGGCATGTATGGGCCCCGCTGCTTTCTTTTAAGCAGACACAACAAACACCAGAAGTGGAAGGCTCTTTGGTAACCATGACGTCACAATCAGTTTGGATTCCTCCATTACTGGTTGCATTATCTTCAGTATTCTGTATAGCGGGCTCTGTAACTTGCATCTGACGATTTGCTTCTTCCTGCTGTGTTGTTTTTACACTTTCTATTATTTTTTCCGAGTTCTTCCTCAGTCTGTATGTCTTGCAAAACGTCCAGGGGTATGGAAGACGTTGCAAGGCCCACTTTAGCTATGCAGCCAAACAGAGCTTCATAAGGCGTTCTCTTGATCCCAGAATGAAAGGCCCTGTTCTTCATAAGTTGGATGAATCGTAATCCTTCAGCCCAGTGGTCAGTTTTTTCATCTTGCATCCAAGCACATAGCATGTTTTCGATGTCTTGATTAGCTCTTTCGACACTGTGCTGGCTTTGTGAGTGGCGCGGTTTACCATGGACGATCTTCAACTTGGGCCAGTAATCCTTTAGGCTGTTAACCACATTGTTGGTAAATTCCCGGCCATTATCGAACTGTAGAATTGATGGAGCGCCAAGCAACGTAAATATTTCCACAAATATGTAGGCTACCTCTTTCGCCCTCTTGGATGTTAAAGCCCTCAGAACCACAAACTTTGTGAGATGATCTTGGTACACCATTATAAATTTATATTCCCGGTCAGGATGGGATTGAAAATCGATAATATCGACCTGACCACGGGAGTTGAATTCAGGAAAAATCATAGGCTTCATCACAACACCCTTTGTGACACCTTTTTGTTTCTTCTGGCACGGCTCACAAAGGTGGAGGTAAAGTTCAATATCATTACGTGTAATGTTCTTATACTTATGTGAAAGTTCTTTCAACATTCTGTCCCTTCCTCCAGGTCCCACGGCCAAATGAGCCTCGTGAAGTACGTCAAATAATTCAGAATCCGTGACATAGAACTGAATAGCGCTGTCGCCTTCTTTAACAGGATAGATCAACTTACTTTTGTTCTCTACCGCCATTACATCATAGCGTTTCAGGAGCCAATAGTCTTGTGGTTTCTTCTGATTTGTCATCCGAGCCATTTTCACATCATCCACTAATTTTTGGTAACTAGTCTCCGTTAGAGAAACGCAGTTTTTAGCAGTGTTGGCTCGCCATTGAGAAAGTTCATCGTAGAACCGCCGTTGCATGTCAACATACCGTGATTCCTGATCTGAAACTACAATATGATCTTCCAACATCTCGGCAGCCATCTTGAAACAATAGGGGTAGCGTCTTTGGTGGGAGTACGAAGAACGCGTGTCGTGATCACAACGCCACCACTAAGCAAAGAATCCAACATGAATGGCGGGGTATTCTATACATTGCCAGGTCACTCTTAGGCATTATATAGAATGCCTAGGAAATGTGTGAAATATAAACCCTTTCATACTTTGCCTACAATTTTCAGGCATTCTATAGAATACCTAGGCATTCTATATAATGCCGGATTTTGCACATTGCCAGTAACATATATAAACTCTAAACTGAGCAAATCTCAAGTTGTTGGTCTAGAGTTCAATTCCAGCCAAAGCCCAGTCAAGCAAAAACATCAACAGCACCCCGGGTAGATGGGACTCGTTAACCTTGGGGTCCCGAAAGGCGGATAACATTGGTACAATGAAACATTCCGACAACTCCTGCGACGCCACTGGTGCCAAGCTGTATCATCCACATGATGTTCCCTTGGGTTATCCAGCGGCGCGGACAGGGACGATTTGCTGTTAACCAGCTTATAAACCTAGAAGAATAATCCCAGGCGTTATGGATTTCGTCCTGCGAAGTCTTCACCATCATATTGTGACTGACGGCTGCCAGCAAAAAAAAAAAAAAAAAAAAAAAAAAAAATATAGACTATATATTTTGTTTAAAATTATGATAATGTAGCCTATCCGCTATTCAAACTCAAATGAATTAGAACTGACTACGTCGTCTACGTCAGTGGTTCCCAAACGTTTAAGTTTGGCGGACCAGTGAACAAGTTTCGAAATTTTACCAGGGACCGGTGCATGATTTATTTTTATACTTTTATTTCTGTTTGACAATAAATATTTGTGTCATGGGGACCGGCAGCGTTAGGCATGCGGACCGGTGAAGGTCCACGGACCGCCATTTGGGGACCACTGGTCTACGTCTACTCTATCTCTTGCTGACTTGTTGGTCTTACTCTTACTCATGATATCTATTGTTTAACCGTATTTACTCCATAATTTTCAGTTATTTTATTAATTTAATACATAACTTTAAAAAAAGGATATTTTTTTTGTGTGGATTAAAAAAAATATATAAAAATATTCAAATATTGTGCAGCACTTACATTTTATGCTGAACTGTTTTGTTGTGGTTACTAGACAGTATGGCGACAAGTTTAGTGTTAATTTTATTTTAATGTAGCGAGAAATAATCGAGTGTGAGAAGGCGATTTTGTATATCGGTACCATAAACCATGGCTAATACTGCATTTAACAGAACTGGTGTGCATCTTTCAGAAGATGATATTGTTTTTATTTGTAGAGCATTGAAAGAAAATAATCTGAAGCTACTTTGTCTACGAGAATGTAAAGTTGGAAAGAAAGATTTTCAGCGCATATTGAAACTTGTAAGCTCTTGCCATTCAATACAGCAGCTGACTTTAAACGTTGGAATGGTAACTACTATGCAACACGTTGAACTTTTGGCCCAATGCATCCATAAGAACAAATCGCTTACTGGTCTTCAGTAAGTAACTTTAGACTTCTCCATATTTCTTCTTCTTCTATATATTAGCTTAGGGGCCCATTATCATTCTGGCTTCTATGTATGTAGAGGGATTTGCAATGTTTCTGTGCCTGGTGTTGATGAGGATATTTCACTGGTTGCAACGGCTACTCAGCAAGGTCATCTTGAACTGGGGTTTGGAAGGCCTGAGGCAATAGATACAAAAGTTTCAAGAGTTGTCTCTCCAACTGTTCCTTTTGGAAGCTTGTTCCAGTCCTTGATTGTCTTTGGCAGGAACAAGGAGTTCCTGTACCAGAAACACTTAATCACAATATCAAGGATGACAATGCTCCATGCAATGACTATGCAGCTACAAGCGTCTGGAGTCAAAACACAGTACAGTATCAGTGGCTCCCAAGCCCAAAGCCCTGCACATAATTTTTTAAATCTACAAAATATCAAAAATTTAAATAATTATAATTATTCATTTTAATTGGTATATTCAATAATTTATCTTTATTTTGGAATACAAGCAATCATTTACCTTTTTATGATGTTTCAGAATGTCTGTATTTGTTAGCATGTGATATTCATTTTAATATTTTTCATATAGTTAGACGTTATTGTGACAAAATTGTGTCTGATTCTTCTATCACTATCAGCATTTTTGTTATAAAATAGGGCAGTGGTCGTTACTTGTGACTACAAAGCTGAATGTGGCTGTTTGAAAGAATAAATGCAGATTTTAAAATTTCTCCTCACACAAAAAATTAAGCTGACCATTGGCACAGATAATTATATTTCGTAGAAACTTGATTATTAGAACTTTAAACTAATACTTGTAAAAATGTTTTCTAATTTTAGATTTACACAAAAGGCCTAGGACCACAATGTTTTATTAATTACTAAAAATAAAAGGTTCTTATACTACTTCGGATTCTAACTTATGCTTAGACTATTTATGAATGATTTCCACAATAGCTATGACAGAAACCAGAAGCAACTGGCATATGGAATGCAGTCTACTGTACCTCAGTTTCTAAGTTTAGACCACAATACATTCAATTATTCACTGCTGCAGAGACAGAATGTCACTTTGAATGTATCAATAGTACTGAACAAAGTTCCAATCAACAATGCCATTTTGGATATGTGCAAAGAAAAATTATTATTTCATGTTTTTTTCTTTTAAATAACCAAATAAATTCAGTTAGAATCATGTATGAGATGTATAATGTTGAAAAAATTATACATATATAAAGCATGCATGACCAAGGGATATAATGGCCCTAATAGACTTTATAGAATCCTTGCTAGTGGGGTTGTACAGTTAATACAGAACATTTTTAAAGTATCATATTAATCATAAATAGGTAAAGATTATTTGATATGCTTTCTATTCTTGATTAATAAGTCTACATTTTGCAAATGACTCATTACCATTTTAAGTAGATTATTTGTTGAGGATCCTGTGTGATAACTTCAAAACTGATAAGGATAGAATTTTTCACCCTCTGATTACTAAGCAAACCCTTACTTTTTCTTCAGCATCCATGGCAGTGAACTTGGAGATATTGGAATGCAAATTCTAGGACGAGCTTTAAGTCTTCACCCCGGTGTTGTGTCTTTAGATGTTGGTGACTGCAAACTTGGTGACTTATCTATTGATGTCATTTATTCACTTATGCTGCCATTCAATAACAGGCCTGGTAAGTTATGTAAAAAGTAGTATAATAAAGAAGAAAACAACCCACTCAGACAGCTGACAGCTTTTCAAGGTGATCAGAGTTTCTCAAGATTCCCAGTTTTAAATTTAAAATTTAACTCACAATTTTTAAAAATAATTTATTAAATTATTTCACTAAAAAAAAAATATTCAATTAATTTTTTCTTTGTGTAAGGGTAACATTTGCAAGAAAAACGTATTACAATTGAACTAATTAATCCACTACTTATTCACCAACATTTGATGTAATTCTTTGTTACATATTCAAAGGGGTATAACTCCTTAAAGAAATGTATACAAAAACTTGATAAGTCATTGATTTAAACATATTTTAAAGTATAAAAAATAATTAAATGGAATTTATTTTTTAAAAAAAGTCTTTAAAAAGTGCTTTTCTGTTTTATCATTTTTTTTGCATTTGAAAGTATTACAATTACAGTCATAACTTTTTATACCAGTGGACTTTGTTATGTTACTTCTGAGTAGAAATGATGTTTTTTTGTTTTCAATATTAGTTTAAGCTCAACTGTACATATATCAAGAGAAGATACACATTCAATCTTTATAAAACCAAGTTGATTCAATCTTTGCCAAGAATTTTACTAAAAATGAGAATAGAAATGGAGGGAAATTGAGGACCACTACTGTACAGCACTGATTAATTTTCTTACTTTCATCATCTTATTAGGTATAACTGAACTAACTTTAAGTGATAATCCGCGCATAAGTGCCTTAGGATGGGCTCAGTTTGCCATGTGCCTTGCCAATTGCAATTCTTTGCGCTGGCTTTTCTTGGACTACAATCAACTGGGTGACTATGGTGCAAGTTGCATACTTATTGGCATGGCAGCTAGTCAGTCCATAGAGATTTTAGACATGGAGGGTTGTGGACTTACTGAGCATACTGGACAGGTGAGCATTATATGGTGGTAAAAAAAATCTGTAAAATATTTAGTAATACACATATTCACCTACGATACAAGACATTGTGGTGGAGATGGTGATCTTAAGAGCTTATGATGATGAGTTATTGTAACTTAATTGTTTAAATGATGAGTTATCTTAACTTAATTGTTTGAATTACTTAACAAATGCTGAGTGGTATTTGTATTATATTATTATAGGCAATTTTACATCTTGTCCAAAACCACCTTGGCAGTCTCAGTAGAATTAAGCTGAGCAGTAATAGAATACGCAAGTCAACAATAGAGGCCATTCGGAAACATTTGAGTGAGAACCATTTGGATGACTCAGATGGTGCATCAAGTGTCACTGTTGATGAAATATTTTCTCTCAACGAATCCAGGGTGAGTACTGGTACTTAATAAATCAATAATAATCATGCAAAAATATATATACCTAAGAAAGAAAAAAAAAGTTAAAACACAAATCTCACGAAAGTAGTGTTGCTATATTAATGATTTGTTTCTTTAAAATATCTCTTTGGCAGGTGAAAAGTTCAAAGAAGCTTTCAAAGAGACATAGGTCATCATCTTCATCATCATCGTCTTCATCATCATCTTCATCATCATCGTCTTCATCATCATCTTCATCATCATCATCATCATCCAGCTCAAGCAGCAGCAGTGGTGATTCTGATGACAGTTCTAATAATGACTCTGATAGTCAGAAGATGAAGAAAAAAGTTGACAAAAAGGATGGTAAGAAAGATAAAGGCAAGAAGGACGAAAAGAAAAACAAAGCTGATAAAGATAAAGATCAAAATGGTCATGCTGAAAAAAATAATGATAGTAAAAGAAAGGATAATAAAGTGGATAAAAAGAAGAAGGAAGAAGTTAAAGGTGAAGAAAATGAAGGGAAAAAATCAAAGAAAAAGGGGGAGGAGAAAACTTTAGAAAAAGGTAAACAAGAGAAAAAAGACAAAAAAGGCGATGAGACCAAGAAGAGCAATAAAAAAGAAAATAAAAATGAGGAAACTGATGAGGAAAAGGGGAAAACAAAGAAAGATAAGAAGAAAAACAATGAAGAAGAGACAGAAGATGAAGAGAATGATGAGAAGCAAAAAAAGGAGAAAAATAAAAATAAAGCCAAGAAGAGCAATAAAAAGGAGAATAAGAATGAGGAAACTGATAAGGAAAAAGGAAAATCAAAAAAAGATAAGAAGAAAGACAAGGAAGAAGAGACAGAAGCTGATGATGAGAAGCCACAAAAAGACAAAAAGAAAAGTAAAGCTAAGAAACAAGAAAGTGAGAGCAAGAAAAGCGAAGAGACAAAAAATAAGCATAAAGTTAAACACCAGTCTGATGATGATGAAGAGGATGATGATGAGAGCTCTGGGGAGGAGCTTGCTGAGGTGCCAGTGTTTTACAAATAAATTCACTTCTATAAAGAAACAAGTTAAAACAAAGCTGTCTCATTCCGTATGATGAAACTGGTGATAAAATCTGGTCACTTGTGAGTGAAAGGGGCATAGCTGATAAATAATGTTAAGATTTTAACATGATGGCAAAAAAAAAAGTTAAAGTAACTTTATTTACTTATGCTGTCTATACTATAAGACACTGTTTTTTTTTTTACAGACCATCAACTGTTAGTTATTTTACAGTCCATCAATTGTTCGTTATTTTAAAGTCCATCAACTGTTAGTTATTTTACAGTCCAAACATCAAATGTTTTTACAGACCAAACATCAACTGTTAGTTATTTTACAGTCCATCAACTGTTAGTTATTTTAAAGTCTATCAACTGTTAGTTATTTTACAGTCCATCAATTGTTCGTTATTTTAAAGTCCATCAACTGTTAGTTATTTTACAGTCCAAACATCAAATATTTTTACAGACCAAACATCAACTGTTAGTTATTTTACAGTCCATCAACTGTTAGTTATTTTAAAGTCTATCAACTGTTAGTTATTTTACAGTCCATCAATTGTTCGTTATTTTAAAGTCCATCAACTGTTAGTTATTTTACAGTCCAAACATCAAATGTTTTTACAGACCAAACATCAACTGTTAGTTATTTTAAAGTCCATCAACTGTTAGTTATTTTATTGTCCATCAATTGTTTTTGCTTACTAACATAACACAAATTACTTTTGGAGTAATAAAATGTAAATGTAGTATATGAAATATAATCTCATATGCTACAATTGTTTAAGCATTATCATTTCTCAGAATTTTACTTTGTTCTGCTTTTTACATTATGTGAGGTAATGATCAAATGCAAATAGATGTTTTTAACCATCTTAGGAACTCCTCTCAGTGCATTTGAATTTTAATAGTTATATTCATGGATGACAATACTTATTTTTGTACTGTTAAATCAGAAGTACATTCACCGTAAAAGCTGAAAAGCCTAATCATTCTAAATTTTAAAAATAATTTTATCACTCTTCTTTTATTTTTGCTTTTTTGTCAAAGAGCTAGCGCTCTGTTATCAGCATATGAAAGTAAGTAAAATAATGTTATCAAATATGCTTATAAAGAGAATTTAGAAATTTCGTTAAATTCCCTTTTATTTAAGAACCTGTACATTAACATCCAGTCTTTCTGTGATAATTTTGATAGTCTCTTACTGGATATCTACATTTTTCTGTAGTTTGTGTATTTCTCCTCTGGTGTCACCTCCTAGGTAGCCATAATTCTTTTATCTACCAGTACCTTACCCATTATCACTGATAGGTGGTCAGTGTCAAGGCCAGCCTGTGGGACTATTATGGCATTGTTCATCACATATCTCCTGATCTTCTGGTAAGGATCTAATCTATCTGGGAGGATGTTGTCAGACCATTCCACCTTTACCCTATTTGTGTATGACTGGGATGTTGTTTAAAATAATTTAACAAGTTGGAAATCAGTGATTAAAAAATGTTTTTTTTATATGTCATGTAAGTATTTAAATGCTTGAATCTCCCACTGGTCCAAAAGTAAGCATTATCTAAATTCTATATTTAAGTGATATGTATTTTAAAGTTAAATAATTATTTATGTTATAAATTTTAAAATACTTTTTTAAAACTTCCAATAAGTAATTCATAGCTTTTCCAATTGTATAAATTTTGATGTGAAATATTTTTGGGGGGATTAGTCTAGTTTCTATTTAACATTCAGTTCTAAAAGTGGAAAACCAAGCAAAAAAATATTATTTACTCAGTTAATTGAATTTCTGCTAGGTTTGGGGTCATCCATAAAAGACGTCCACACAAAAGGGGGGAGGGGGGGTTCAGCAAAAAGTGGACTAAAGTGGAAAAAGGGGGGGAGGGGGTTTAGGACAAAGTGGATGTCCACATTGTAGTGTTTTTTTGAGTGCAGCAGTTTTGCATATATTTACTGCAAATTTACTGCCTGATCACAGTTACAGTAGCATGCCTTTTGATCTCTATTGTCCATCGGTGGCTGGGAGAATTTCCAAGAGAATATGTTTCTGCGGTAAATATTTCCCATCACAGGCGGCAATGAAAAAACATAAGATCGTCCATTGCAATATTCCTGCTAGTGAACATAATATGGCAGACGAATCAGACGAAGAGACTGCCACTCAAATTGAATTAGCAATTGAAGACTCAAGAACAGATGTTGTCATTATACGAAACATGTTTGAATGGCTGCAGTCCTAATTTTTCGTTGATTGAAGAATGGTGGATTATTTGGTTATTACATTTTTTAATTAGAGTGATTCAATAAAATGCTCTTGAACAGTTATTATTTCATTTAGAATTTTGCCAGCAAATAATTGGAATTTCTAAAAAAAATCTTTGTAAATACATACTCTTTATATTGTTGTACATTTTCCCAAAATATTCATTAATTTAAGAAGTTTGGTAAATTTTATGTTTTGGACGTCCACAACTGGGGGGGGGGGGGGGTAAAAATAGCAAACAAATTGGTGGACGTCTTTTATGGATGGCCCCTTTCTATCCAACCAATCATCTTTTGTTTTTATTATAAATTTGTGTAGCCATTTCTTATTCCCTACTTGCGAATATAACAGCTGGTCCAAATGTTAGATCAAAGAGAGTAGGTGGTGGATGAAAACTGGAGATCAGAATAGCAGGTTGATGGGTGAAAATTTGTTTTTTTAAATTAATTTTGGATGTGTGGTTTTATACTCACATTCTAAGGAAACTTTCTGACAAGAGAGCACTTATGTCAATAAAAGATTTTAGTCTGACTAATGTAAAAATTACAAATAATTTTATAATACTATTCGTCCATATAAAATCGCATTTTATGAAAATTATTTAAATTTAGAGCATCAGATTGAATGCGTGATGATTTCTTTCTTTCTTAATAACTATTATTTGTTTGGAATACCTTCAGATACTTTCTTTTGTAATCAATTCAGGGACTTTTACACAATGGTATATTTTCAAGCATATGTTTTTGTAGCGATTTCAAAATTTTAATTAAACTAATTTTTGGCTTTTTGTATCCACTTATTTATATATATAGACTATATATATTTTGAGTGAAGTGTTTCAATTCAGGGAATATTTTGCTATTATTCTTTTTATTTATAATTTATAGAATTTGAAGAAAAACAAATTATATTAAAAAAAACCTTGATTTAAATCCTGCCCCCTTGCTGCTTTCAATATCACACCTTACTAAAGATACCTGGTATGTTTATGTTAAAGCAGAAGTGTGACATAATTATTTTTATTAGCGGTGGTTTTATATAGCGTGGTACCCCAGCCTAAGGCTCACGCTGTTTTTTAAATGAACTTTATTATTATTATTATACAATTTAACAACATAATCATGAAACTTAAAAATTAACATACATTAATTAAATAAAATCAAAGCAAATTTATATTCACTCCACACCTTCAAGAACTATTTACATGTCAAGCCATTGGCGGCTACCCAGCAGCATCATTTATCGATCAGAGGGGTGGGGGGGATCAGTCAGGGTAGTAGATTTTAAACAGATGTGTTTTGAGTGCAGTTTTGAAGGCAATGGAGATTTTCTTAATCTGTTTATAACTTCAGCAACATGCCTAAAAAATTAAGAGCTTATTTCATTAAAAAAAATAGTTAATAATTATGTCATTCAATGATAGTGCAGATTCTTAACATATATTTATATATACAGTGGAACCTCTCATAACGAGCACCTCTCATAATGATTAATTCGCATAACTAGCAAAAAAAATGTGAAGAAATTGTTCTCTTAACGAGGGACATTTCGTTTAACGAGTTACGCAGAAAGGGGAAGTCCCTTTTTCCCTCACTTCTACGTGGAAATACTTTGGCCAGAGTATTGTTGAATGTGATTTTGAAACCGTACCTGTGGAGTCTACAATTAACTATATTGTGTCATTGGCCAATATCATGGGACTCGAGGTGGACAACAACGATATTGAAGAGCTTGTGAAAGAGCACAGTCAAGAGTTGACCACCGAAGAGCTTATGGAGTTGCATCGTGTTTCACAGCAAGAAATTATGGAGGAGAGCTCATTAATGGAGGAGGAAGTAGCAGAGCAACAATCTTCTAGCGCAATGAGAGAAATGCTGAAAGCATGGGAAACTGTTGCATCGTACATTGAGAAGCATCACCCCTAATAAGGAGGTGGCTATTCGTGCTACAAATTTATTCAATGATAATGCTGTGACACATTTTCGTCAAATTTTGAAGCGTCTGCAAAAACAAATGTCTTTAGACAGTTTTCTAGTTAAAAAGGATTAATTATTTGTCATAAATTCATATTTTTATTTACGTTTTTTTGTTTCAAATCTAAATTGTATTCCAAGTTGTTACAATTCATAAGTAATATTATTTGAATAAATGTTATTAAATTTTTTTTGAAAAATTAGTATTTTTTCAGCATGGAACGCATTATCGTATTTTACATTGATTTGTATGGGAAAAATTGTTTCGCTTAACGAGTGTTTCGCTTAACGAGTAAGATTCTGGAATGAATTATGCTCGTTATGAGAGGTTCCACTGTATTTCCATCCAATATAATTGGTATGATTTGATAAACATGTTGGTTGAAGGCAATAGTAAGGTGCTGATGATATTATTAAGTGAAGGAATCAAGGAACCAAAGCTGTTACATCAACTTCTTGATGCCTCAGAAAATTTATGCCACATAAATGTCTTACTTTTATATAATCAATCTAGGTGTATAGTCAAGTGTATCAACAAAAATAAACTTGCAGAGTTATAACAGAATATCAGGGATGATATATAAAGTGTGGTCATTATATAATGATGAAATTTTGATAATTGAGTTAAATTCTTTTTAAAATTATGTAACATTTGAGAAAAAGAAAAAAAAAAAAATTGCATTCTTTTCTGCATACTTTTTCTTTATTTTGGTACCAATATCAGATTTTGATAATTTTTTTTAGCTCCAAGTACAAAGCAACTTAAATCTCTACACTCATAATTTACTAAATTTTACATTTAGTTCTTTAAAAAATAAAATCATAACAGATCCAAAAAAAAAGGAATATATTTAAATTAAAAGAATTAGTTTTTTTGTATTTTTTGAATGTGTCAACAATTTTTTTTAACTTTCTGCACAAAAACAATTTTGGATCAGAAAAATTGTAATGTAATAACATAAATAAATAGATATTGCAAGTCAATGAAAATGCATGGTAGAAATGCCCCTTGCCTTAAATATATATACATTTACATGACAAGACTTATCTAATGAATTTTTAGTCTTTCCTTAACAACATTGCTGTGTTTAATAATCAAACTTCAGTTTCCGTGGGGTCATAAACTCTTGTGCAACCTCATCTGTAATAGCTTTTCTTTTCTCTTGTATACTTCCTACTATCTGCTGGAGCACACCAATAAGTTCTTTCTTCAAGTGGCCAGTCAGCAGTTCTCCACTTGTGTATTCCTAACAAGTCAAGACAAAACTATTAATGTACTGATTACTATAAAATCCACAATTAAATCACAAGAATCATGACATATAATATTGCTCTTCTTAAAGTTTTGAGAATTTTAGAAAAAGTGTTCAGTTTGTCACAGGCCTGATTACCCTCAAACTCCTAAAATTGTACAGTATCCTCTAAATACAGACAATACAGTATCTTAATAGTAAATAAATAAAAATACAGTATATATCATAATATATGTTTACAGTAACCACTCGCATCACATGTTGAGTGAGATCGAGTTAAGTAGTCATCAAAAGAGGTAACTTCCAAAAGTAGATAACTGATGTTTATATTGCAATCTGCAGTCGCTTTGTTTTGCAGATGTAAGTATATCTGCTATAGATACCAATTAATATTAGGGTGGACATGTTTGTGTAGATTATATTATCACAGTCTATCACTGGTAAAAATAAAGTTACTGGTGAAATTTAACATGGTTTGAATTTGAAGTTACTTCAGCTTAAAATAACATTTATTGAGATGAGAATTAATTTTCCAATGAGGACGTCATTTACAAACCTCACCAAGTTACTTGAGATTAATTTGTTTAGGAAAAATCTGGTTTAAAAAAAAGAAAGAATTAATATCAACTAAGCCTTTTTCCTGTTATATAATCTAATAATGATAACTACCAGAAGCTACAAATGGCTGAATGGAAGAGGAATGTTGGAACCAAACAGTTGGTACCAAAAATCGTACAGCTATTTTGTGTGTTTTATAAATAGATTTCAAAGACTCAGATCTTATAAAATAGTTTGAAATCTAATGTTGCTCTCCGGAACAGATGAGAAGAAATAATGTCACAAAATTACGTCAAACAGCCCTGAAGGTAAAAAAAGTTAGGATTGGCTAAAATTGTCACTAGGGCGACTACACTAATATTACTATTGCAGTGTCTAGCCAGTTCACTACGAGAACACAAAGCAACAATATGACAATCATTGCGAAAAACATGGTACACAAAATCTCGTAAATCACTCCCTCTCAGGACAAACGTAAAGTAATTATAGATGGTCCCCAACTAATTCATATTTTTTAATACATTCACCGCTGGATGCAGAAAGGAGCTAAAACAAACAACTGAAAATGTACTTTTTAATTTTTTTAAATTGGAAAAACTTCCAGATTATTTATATTTTAAACCTGGTCTCTAAAAATTTAGTTCTGACAGGTCTAGGTGTACAATCATAAAAGACTTCTCAACATCATTATTATTATAAGTGGTTTTATATAGCGTGTTACCCCAGCCTAGGGCTGGGCTCACCACGCTGTACATACAATTTAACAAACATAATAAAAAACTTAAAAAATTAATTAACATACATTAATTAAATAAAACAAAACAAATGTATATTTAAAACTATTAACATGTCAAGCCATGGATGACACCCAACAGCATGTTTTTTTTGTCAGAGGTGGGAATCAGTCAGGATAGTAGAGTTTAAAAATAAGTGTTTTGAGTGCAGTTTTGAAGGCTGTGATGGTCGGTATACAGCGGATGTGTAATGGAAGAGAATTCCATTGTTTTGGGGCACAGAAAGAGAATGATCGCTCACCGTATATTTTTGTGCGAGTCTTGGGGACAGAAAGAATAAGCGCGTCTGTGGAGGAGCGAAGCTGTCGAAGGGGCGAATAGACAGAGAGAAGTTCGTCTCGATAGGAAGCGGAGGAATTCGAGAAAAAGTTGTAGCAGAGAACAGAGAGTTTGTAGTCAATCCGTGCTTGTACAGGAAGCCAATGAAGTGAATGAAGTAGTGGTGTGACGTGATCACGTTTTTTTGCCTTAAGAATTAGCCTAGCAGCTGAGTTTTGAACCTTCTGTAATTTTTCTAAGAAGTGTTTTGGTGAATCTGATAGAAGAGAGTTACAATAGTCAAGACAAGAGAGAACTAGAGCACAGACTAGGGTTTTTGTTGCACTAACTGTGAGGTATTGGCGGATGGAGATGATCTGATGATTAGCGGTGTATGGAGAGTGACAAATCATACATTGTACGCCAAAATTGTAAGAATAGGTCTGTTGCCATGATGCTAGATTTTCTAAAGACATCTACACTACTGAATTTATTTCTTTTATTCAACAGTCCACTCACTTGTCTGATTTTCTCAAGTTTCTGATCATCCTCCAAGAAAAATTTCAAGTACTGGAAAGAAACATCTATGTCACAGTTACCCCCCTTTTCCTTATGCTCTTCAACTGTAGCTTGACCTCCAGAAAATGCATACTTATTGATCTGTTGGGAAAATAAATAATTAAGATAAGAGCAGTCAGATGATGATTGTTAAGGTTGGGTTAGGTACTTAAGCACTCAGCCAAAACTACCATATGAGTTATGCCCGGCTTTATTAGTCAGTCTTGTAATTATAGAAAAATTGAAGTGAGAGTGCACAAATATTCTACTAAGAGGTTAGGGAGAGCCACATACTATAAATTACTACTGATAGCTAAGGAACACTGTAGAGTACTTCTGTTGATACAAGTTCTTAGTCTGATCTACAACCCTTGAGTTGAGCATTACTGTCAGTCTATAGTATTGGTCAGGTAGCACCCCAGATTAACCCTTTAGCTTCTTGCAGCCGCTGGAAGTGGCTCAGAAATGTATTTACTACAACCATCAGCCATTTGTTATGATATGATACTGCACTGGAGTAAGAATGAATTGTCCCATGCTTTGATTACTGGGCAAAAGTCATGAATAAAAAGGGGAGAAAAAGAACCAGATAGAATATTTATTAATTATATAAGGTATTATTGAACCTTTTGTAACTACTGTTTTGCTTTGAATAAAGGATATTGTATTTTTAATAATTAAACTGACAATTGACTGTGGATAGGATAGGGAGATAGGATTCTAAAACTTATGTTGACAAGATTGCAATATTACTCTAAAGGTTTGCTCAACAATACAGCCACCTCAGCATTGCTGCTGCACTGCTCATGGGGCAAAGGTAAGTACATTAAAAAAAATATAAGAATGTGCGCTGTAATTAACACTGTCCAATTCTGTAAGGATCTATATGTGTAAAATTAGTAGCATATTTGAAAGCATTGCTAGTGCTATTTGTGAAGTTAATATTTGTAAATTTGAACTATTTATTATTAATATTTTGTATTAATTATTCTTTGACTTCTCACCTTGTTTTTAATTTGATTGGGTGTGTCTGTGAGTAAAATACATGAATTTTGATCACTAGCTGACATTTTTGATGTTGCACCTTGCAAGGCGGGGAAAAATATAGAATGTAACAAAGCTGGTTTTGGTAGATTTATCCTGGGGGCTACATCTCTTGTCATTCTAAAATATGGATCCTGTTTAAAAAAAAAAAAAAAAAAGATGAATGAGAAATGTTTTTTTAAATTAACTAAAAAAAAATCCAGATTAAGATTCTATTATTACATATATCTTCCTTGACAAATCTTTCCCCAAACAAACATTACAAATACTTTAAATTGTATGGCTTGAATATTAATTATTAATCTTGTAAAATTTCAGACAATGGCTTTAATGTCTTCTGTTTGTTAGTAAAAGAAAAAATAAAGTTCACTCATGATTTAGTACAACAGGTTGAAATATTTGTACCTGGTCTATCGCACATGGTATAAGGCAGGGTATATTCCTTCTGCCATTAAATATTTGAGGAAAGGCAATGCTAAAGCTGGGTGCCGCTTGTATGGCAGGAAATGATATCTTTCCAATGCAGTCACTGTCACCAAAACCAAATATGCCCTTGACCTGATTGAATGTTACATGCTTCTGGATTTGAACTATCACTTGATAGAACCCTGGACACTGTCTGCAAATATTGAGAGGCAAATAAATGTAACATAAAAAAATTTATTAAGCCAATACTAATAAATACAGAATGAGTTATTTTTAAAAGGCTTAAATACTGGCAAGTGTGTTGGACTGTGATAAAACATAAGTAGACTAAAATGTGTGTAAGTGGATTGTGACATGACTGCTGTCTAAGAGTAATATTAAAATCTTAAATTAAATACATAACATTAAATCTTTCGTCCCACAAACATTTTAAAGAATTTTTGAAAAATGTACCCTATATAATTTAAGTCACAAAAGATAAAAGTCTTTTCAACATCGAAGCCAAGTGATATTATGTCTTTAACATTTTCCAGGGCAACACGTTTTACTTCTTCCATAGAGATATCTTTCCAAAGATACTTCTCATCATCAGTCATCTGTATGACAAGTGGTACATCAAATGTTTCCTGAAGCCACCTGGTGGATACAATGAAACTTATCACATAAATGTGGCTAGAGAAAACAAAAAGACATACAGTAACAACTCATATATATTACCGGTATTTAATTGTCAACTAGATGTATATGGTTTGCTCTGACACTTTAACGGATGATGTGAATGTGATGACAAAATATCAAAAGTATTAGAAAAAAGTGCACACTAACCATCTTAAACAAAAGCAAGATCAACTTTAAGAAATATTTAACTTTCAATTTTAAGTCATTAGAGAAAAAATTTTAAGGTTAGTTTTCTTTCCTCTCAGTGCAAACTCTTATTTTTTTATGATAAAATCCTACTTTGTAAAGACAAAAGGGATCAAGTGCCCCATGTGCATGGCTTCTGAAGATGGTCCCCGGCCTGTGTAAAGATAAAATGGTTTCTTTTGCTCATGTAGGTCAAGAATTTTGTGCATTTCCCTGTACATTAAAAAAAAAAAAAAGAAACACATTGAAATAAAATACGATTGCAGTATCCGGTATCAGTGAGATTACTGGTTTTAAAGCATTGTTGATGTTAACAATTATTTTGATAACTATTATATAGTGGAAATGATTAACAGAAAAGATACCAAGAGATAACTGAATTCTGCTTACCAACAACTAATATGTCAATAAAACCTTTAAATAACTAACAGATGTTCTAAAATTATTGTCACATTGCAACATTAAACTAATTTTTCAAACCTTTTTTTTGTCTTAAAATCTTCTAACTCATTATTGAATTTTGCTTCAAAACAAGATTGTATCGCACTTATGCAGCACGTTTTAAATCATAAAATGACTTGCCTGTGAGAGAAAAATATACCACGCTTCAGGAAAGGATGCGCCGGTTTCCCTGTAACTCTTTCAATTCTTTGAATGAGTTCATCATCTATTGGTGTACTGCCAAACCTCACTGTTGAAATCAACAATAGATAACCAAAAATAGGTTAAAATTGAATTTTTTGTGATTTTAAACAATAGGTTCTGTGCTTGATTAAAAAAAAGTACTGGTATACACAAATTGTAATGAAGTATAAATAAAATAGAGCTATTACCTATTAATTTGTCATAATCTACTCCAGTGGCAGAAGATGACTGAACATTCCATGGATCTACAAGGTCCTCATTAGCAGTTTCTCCTTTATTTAGGTCTATAGACGCTACTTGAGCTGCCTGAACTTCAGACATTGTGAGAGAAAGCTTCATAGAAAGAAAGAAAAACTATTTAATTAGAAATTCCCTTCCAATAACACAACAAAACTAAAAAATCCCAAGATATAAAGTCATCTTGATTGTGGATTTCCCATGCATTGCAGGAAGGATGTTTTTTTAATTACAATTTTAGTCCTAAGGCAATTAATAAAAGACGGTTATTTGTGTTTGTGTACTATAAATAATAACTAAAAAAGAAAACAATTGAAGTTTTGTTCTTACAGATTAAAACAAAAACAACAAACCAGGTTGTCTGGTGACAATCTTAACTGAATTTGCTCCCCACATGCAACACTTTCCCTGGTCTCACTAAATTCTTACACCATCTTGAGTCTATTCTCCCTTTTCGGGTAGGGGATTCAGGGTTTTACAAATTCTATTTCTTCCAGGAAAAAAATGTACAAAATATTAAACAGGCTAATTTATTTCATTGATTTTGGAGAGTTTTAATGGGGTGTTTATTTAAAATAATGAATTTCATTGTCTTTATAACATGCAACTTAGCAGATATATTTTAAGAGAAATAATTATTTAGCAGGAAAATTTAATGAAATAAAATTAGATACCGGTACCAACTATGTGTTCTTGTTTAAAAAGAAATTATCTTAAACTTGAGAGTCCCAACAACATATTATTTGATTTAAGCAATGCTACTAACAATTCACTTCTCATCTGTGCCTGGTTTGCTGCTTTTATTTCTTAGAAAATGGAGATTTCATTATTCAATTTTTTAATAAAACAAGGTTCCTTTTAAAGCAGTGGTGTCCAACTCCGGGGCCAAGATGATTCTGAGTGCGGCCTAACAAAAAATTCATATCAACTTAAACTTTTTGAGATTTTGAATAAAAATGCAATTATCCTTTGCAGGTGCCACACTGTCTTACCTGGTAAGAAACACTTGTTAAAAACACTTTTTATAACTCCTAAGTTTTATACTGTAAGACATTTTATGTACTAACATAAATTAAAGCGTTTTTCTTTGTATACTGTGACAGTGGCGTAGCTAGGGTTGGTGTCACCCGGTGTGGTAAACTCTTGGTGTCACCCCCCCCCCCCCTACACACACAACTTCCATGATGGATTTCTTTTTGTTAAAATAAGTAGCATTAAAACATTGACAAGGACAAATGGTTGGTGTCCCCCGGTTGGGTAAACTCTTGGTGTCACCCCCCCCCCCTACACACACAACTTCCATGATGGATTTCTTTTTGTTAAAATAAGTAGCATTAAAACATTGACAAGGACAAAAACGCATACATCGAAGGTCATGAGGTGAATGTATTTAACAACTTTAACGTTAAGTTATATTAATTTTTACATTAAGTTTACTTTTAAAAAAAAAGTTCCTTTCCTTGTCTTTGGATCAAAATCAACGTCCTTCACCGCATCACTTTCAATTGATAGCAGAGCCTCATCAGAAAGCCTAAACTGTCCTTGGTGGATCATAAATATTTCTCACAGCCTTTATTAGTTTATATCCATGATAAGGATCTCCTTCACATGATTTGCAAGGACATTTATAAATTCATTTTGGGTTTTTGGTGCAAGGTAAGATGCGGATGCTTTTTCTGTAGATGTATTTCTCTTTAGTATCATTTGGTGCTGTTTTAGCACTGGGCCATATTTAGATAGCATCTCAACCATTTCAAGAAAGTTTCAGTGAAGATTCATCTTTGTTGTGCCAGATTTTCTTTGCAAGAAACAATGTGATATGCAGCAATCTGTGCAGGATAGCCCTCCACTTTTTCTTCTCACTGTCCATCATAGCAATAATTTCGGCATCAATTGTTTTGTGTATCCTAAATCCTGCTGCCAATGCCTTTTGCTTTTCAAGGCAATATAGGTGCTCTTCCGATGCCTCATTATTTTCTAATTTTGACCTCATTTTCCACCACTTATCAAAGCCAGTAACAAATTTATATGTTGTTTCTGTAACATTAACAGCAAACAATCTGCAGCAAAAACAATACTATTTCTGTCTGATGAGTGAACAAACCATCCACGACCACAGTATTTTCTCGCTATTTTGCATCATCCCGTAGATTGTTTTGTTAGTTGGCGCACACCTCCTTTAGATTTCGCATTTTGCCTTGTCACTACGCTGAATAGTCTGTTCTTGTTCTAAAATGAGGTACTCCATATTTTAATAATTTCAGACCGAAAATGATCTGGAACTGGTACATTCCAGAGAGAAGCATCTGATGAAATGTGCCAATTTTTTTCAATAACCATTACACTTACAGTAACTTGGTTTGAATCAACATTATCAGCAAACATTTCTGTTTCCAAACCATCTATTTTTTTTACTTGTGTTTTCACATTAATCTCTTCCATTTTCTCCACTATTTGCTGAAAAGAATGCATGCTGCTGGTATCGGGAGAATCAGTATCAGTATCAGTGGTAGGCTGAGGAAAGTCTTTTGATGAACCCTGACCCTGGTCATCATTTGGTTTCTTGATCTGGAAGCATGTATTCTGGTAGTGATTTTTAGTGAGTTGTGTATTTTCTTTTTTTGCTTTTCACTGCTGACAGCCACTTGGTCGTTTAGATTTGTGCACGGCGTGTGGCATGATATAATAATCTTAAACAATAAAAATGCTTTAATTTTGTCATGTTCAAGACAACAAACAAAATAATTACTGATAACAGTTTGAAAACAACAGTCACAGGACTGTCCAAAATACAACACAGAAAGGAAACCTTATTTCTCACAATTTAGATAAATATAGCATCCTGTCACTTACGGAAGTTACCGAACACTTTAATCGGCGTGGAATAATGACTGTGTTTTCTGACCTAAAAATAAGGTCCTCTCATTTCTGGCGCATCAACCTTGACCTTTTAATAAAGCACGAATTTGTGAAAAATGTATGTGTGATCCGTTATCCTTTTATAAATCTCGCCTAGACAGAGCAGTGTGTTTGCTCTGTAAATATGCAATTTTTCAATTGGGTGTCACCCCTAAAATGGTGTTACCCGGTGCAGTCTGCACCCCCCTTGCTACGCCACTGTATTGTGAACATTGATGGTGCCCGAAGATGATAGGTAAAAGAGATGGACTTAAACATTCATAGAAGATGATGCAATTATCACTGCTTAGTACACTAAGAAAATGTTTGCTCAAAATCTTTAAAAATGGATAACGTCATGCAGAATGTCATCAATGCCGTAAATTTCATAAGCACCAACGGATTGAATCATCATCCATCCAAGGAATTCCTTAAATTTATAAATGTTGATTATGGAGGAATCATTTATTTTTTGGAAGCACGATGGTTAATTGTTTAAAAGATTTTATGCTCTGCTAACAGCATGGTGCAACTCTCACTTTAAAAAAACGGGCCCACAGAATCCTTTTTTTTGGTCTTTTGTATTATTATTATTATATTTGTATTACTTATGAATGGTATGATTTTACTTTACCATATTCATATTTTTATAATTTACAAGCCAATATACCCGACATGGCTCGGGATTGCATTAAGACCCCAATCCCTGTGCAGTCTTGTTTCCTGGTGTGATCCTGTTACTCGATGGGATGGCTTAACCGATGGGTTCCAGTTTACTGTTGGATCTCGTTCCCCATTAGGATCCTGTTTCTCTATGGGATCATGCTCAGTGCGATTTTGTTCAAATAAGCTTTTAGATCCCATTATCTATCCCCGTAGAACAAAATAGAACCTTCTGGAACATTCTCGATTAAATTTAATATCCTCCATCAAAACATGTATAAAAATTACTTTCGATTAGTTAAAATCAAAATACCTGTTTGTTGAAACTTAGGTAACAAAAGGGAGACTACTGCTTAAATTGCATTTGGAATGATCTTCTGTGGAGAGGAGACCCCTCCTCAAACCTGCCCCTCGCTTTAAATACCAAAACAAGAAACATAGAAATTCCCTGGGCAGGGGGAAAACCTCCCCAATTTAACAAAAAATATAAAATAAGAAAACAATTGCATTATGTAAATACAAACAGCGAAATCTTTTTAGTAGACAGAAATGGACCTTGGGGAACCTCTGCGACCTATATACTGTGGAACACATCGTCGACCTTACCGCTAACTCAAAATTGACAAAATCAGCTGGAAAAATGAAATGGGGCCTCTGATTGATATTATGAGTTAGGTACCCTTCGGTATATGAATATGGATAATCAAGTGTATGTGTGCCAAGTTTGATCAAGATCCATCTATATTCCATCCTATAGTGTAGGAGTATTTGTTTTTAATTTTATTTATATATATTTATTATATTTATATACGAAAAAAAACAAACATTTTAGACACATTGCCCCAAATGTAATGTTATAAAAAGTTCATAATTATGGACATATTCATATGTGCCAAGTTCGGTCAAGATCCATCAAATCTATGTAAAAACATATAATTTATAATAAATCCACCAACACAGCCACAAACATTCACTTTCTATAGTCTATATTATTATTATATGATGTATTTATTAAATATAGTAGACTATGCTCCTTGACTAGCATAAGTTACAAATTTAGCGACACTGTGACTGACTGAGTCAAAGGGTAGCCTGCACAAGAGACTGTCAGCCTCATGAGTGCACTCAGTTAAGACTAGTTAAGTTAACAACACACACTGTGACACACACACAGGCCCCCCCACCCCCAGCAAAAATATGTCCAACAATAAATCTACTGCAAACATTGCCCCCCGGGAAATTCCTAAAAGAAACACTGCTCACAAGTATAGTCTGAGTCTGGTCACCAGCTAGAAGGCTAAGAATCTAAGAATAAGATTACTAAGAAGTCGAATTGAGTAATGAGTAACTTAAACTTTATTACTTTAATCTCGATTGTTTAATTTCACACCTACTTTTTTGTAAATATAACTATCAAATGATTATTTTGAAGACAGTTGCTAGTCTGAAATCTGTAGATTTACGCTATCAAATAGCAATGTGTACGTTGATGATGAAACCACCCATCAATATTATCAAGCAGACAAGATCTCATTTCTGACACATGTAGGCAACTCTAAAGTACGAAAGCAACATTATCTGTATTAGAAATCCGAAATTTTATTGGTTAACGGATTAAATTTAAGGTACTGGATGTTTTTGGAGAGAGCCAATGCAGGGAAATGCCACTACAATTCCAATAAGATACAAAAGACAAGACCACAATAGACTTAGTTATGCTCATAGTAATTATAGTAGACTTAAAGAGGAGAAAACCTGCCAGCAAAATCGAAGTAAAAATAATACATAATTTATTGAAAGGCCTATGTCTAGGGTTGCCAGATGGTTAAAAATGTCCTCCTTTAACATAAAAATGTAATTCTTTTTTAAAAAAATCACCTATCAATCTAAGACTACACGTAAAATTATCTTCTTAACTGCTGTACACCAATAACTCACTAACTAATTGACTGTTAATTAAACAACCCTTAAAATATAAAACAAAGTTTTTCATATAAATTCTTTTTTTATGTGCTTTAAAAAATAATTTTATAATTTATAATATTCTTATGTCCCACCCTGTTTTACACCAAGTTTTATTTCACCAACTATTTCAGAGAAACAAAATAAAGTATTACGCACCATACACATTGGTGATATTTTCTTTTAAAGACTCTCATTCAGGCAGTTTTTGGGAATTTAATTTCTTGAAATTACTGCTATCATATTTCCTTCACCTTCCCCTTTAAAAACAGGATTTTTATGTGGGGGTTGGGGGTAGGAATGAAATTTTGATAGAATATGATGTCATCAGCAATGAGGCAATGTGCCACGTTTCAGCTTGATAGGTTGACAGGAAGTGGGTAAATAAGCCGTCCGAAGATTTTGCCCTAAGCACACAAAAGTGAATTTAACATAAAGGATTTAAAAATAACGATCCATTTTGTTCATGCAGTTAGTCAACAAAAAGGAACTGTGACTTTGAATGATTCACATGCATGAGTGTCGCAGTAGAATAACAGAGTATTTCCCACTTTTACTTTTTTAATTCGAGTGGTTGGTGCAGTGTTTACGAGAGGACTTCATTCATTAAATAATTTCCCTTGCTTTTGTGCTGTTCGTTTTATTTAATTTTTTGGTAAATAAAAATTGGGTCGCTTATATAACAATAATAGGTTCCGCTGCATTACAACGTCACATTGATTCTGAGAAGCATAAAGAGATGATTTGAGTTTCAGATTCATTACCTTAAGTCTTAAGTAAAACATTTTTTCCACACATAACTTTCTTCATACACTCTTAAGAAAGCAAATGCCGCAGTGGGAACTCTGGCATTTCATACCATTAAACATCACCAACGAGTAATATTGGATGATTCAGAAACTGTCACAAACTTGAAACCAAGACAGAAGCTATTATAAATTATCTGAAAGCTCCACACTTCATATGCAATACAGAAGCTTTTTATAAATTATGTGATAGCTCCACAGACAAGATCGAAGCTATTATAAAATTATGTGAAAGCTCCACACACAAGACAGAAGCTATTATAAGTTATGTGATAGCTCCAAAATAAGTGAGTCATTGCAAAAGATAAGGATCATTTCAATAGCTACTGTTGAAAGCAATCATGGGTCCGAAAAACTATTCCCTATTTTAGTTATCTTTTATAATTGGACTTGTCAAAGAATTGAAGCAAAAGTTCTTGATCCATGTAACCTGCCAAAATGAAAAGTCAGAAACAATAACTGTTTATTACAGACTCTTGAAAAGCATGATTGTCTTCAAAGTATGTTATCTTAATAGACAATAATGCACAAGTTTTTAAAGAAAACTTTTGAGAATGATAATTTTATTGAAATTGGTTGCCTAGCTCATGTTACTCATAACAGTGTATTAGCCTTTGACATGGCGTTGACTTAAAGAGAACAGATGTGGAGTCGATTGTATTGAAAATATTTTTTTCCTTTCTAGTTGTACGTTGAGAACTGATGCTCTGAAAGAGTTTTTGGGATTTCCTTGAAGTTAATTATCAAACTTACTTAATCACAGCAAAACATGGAGGCTGAGTTTGTTCCTAGCAGTAGAGAGAGATTTATAAATTAATTTGATGCTCTCAAACCATATGGATATCCCAATACCAGCCGCCCTTCACACTGAAGAATTTATTGAAAATACATTGTCAGAAGTATATTTTTGGTTGACACACTCTTTAATGTCTGTATTTCAAGTCAACTTGGTATCTGTAGAATAAGAATATAACTCAGTACTGGGAATTTTGAAAATCTCAGAATCAATACAGTGATTGCTGAAAAACAAAATTGAAGACACATTTTTGTCCCTGAAGGTGAAACTATTTGTTCTTCAAATCAATGGTTGAAATGAAGAAGAGCAGGGCATATGTAACAAATTTCAAAGTGTTTATAAAACATCTTTTGAATACTTGGGAAAATGGATGTAACAATTGTTTGAGTTAAAGTGAATTTAATGAATAGTACTTAAAGAACACAATTCAATTAATATAAATATGAAGAATCGATTCTTTTTAGTGAGTTCTTACAAAAGAGAGGTGTTATCATTGATGATGTGAAACCGTATGGCCAATTTTTCAACCTGATGTTATTCCGCAAATCTGAAGATGAAGTGTTTAAGTTCCTCGAAGATCACAGGCTGCATGTACATTGGATGGTACTTTTCAAATCTTGCCCCAATATTGATTGCTTTCCGAATAAATGTGTGAATTTTATTTTTGCGTTCCTGATCATAATGCTCATGTGGAGAGCGTTTTTTCACTTATAAAGTCTCAATGGACCAAGTCGCGGAATAGACTTGATGAGGAGTCAGTGAAAATGATAATTTCAAGAATATGACTTGCTCAAATTTTTATAGTTGCTTATTAAGAAATGAATAACTTTTGTCAAAAATAGCTCTGAGAAATAAGTTTAAATGCCTAAGTTTCAAAGGTATCTATAGCCTTATTTTAATGTTGTAGTTATTTATTTCGGAATACACATATGTATCTTAAATTTAGTTTAACTTTGAAATCTCCTTCCAAATAAAATGTCCTACTTGTTAATATGAATAGGCCTCCTTTTTTCATTTTTGTGGCTGGCAATCCTTCCTCTGCCTCTACATGTGGTTTCATGTGGTTTGACCACTGGATTTGTTTAAGGCTACGTCTCTGTCTCTCAGGACTTTCATATTTATATATATATAATAAGCCTACATATTCAGAATTAGGCTACTGTTTATTCTCAGTGTATATACCTGTAATATGCATTTGAAGTTAAAGAATAGCTCTAATATAACATCCTGATTCTTGGACAGTATTACCAGTATACTTTCGTTTGAGTACATTCCAACTGACAAAGCCACAAGCACCATATAGAGCCATCTACAAGTGACATCACACAGTTTGGGCTTATTCCCCCTTCCTAAGTCACATAATTGTAACACGAATTAGACACCCGTTAGATGCGTGACATTGCTTATGGATGGCCCCCATACAAGGACCAGAAACAGAGATGTAGCTAAGGGTGGATAGAGGGGGACATATGTCACTGGGTGCCACAACAATAGTTGGGTTGACTAAATGGGTTTGATGATATTTTATTGGGGGGGAGGGGCCTAAAAATAAATTTTGTCCCCTATCGTCAAACACTCTTGCCTCTGACATAAATAATTTAAAACGTGATTGCTTTCTCAATCCTATATTATATATATGACAGACCAATTATGTCAATAAAATTATTATGGTACATAGCTGTTACAGAGTAAGCTTTAGTTTCATTTTTAAAGACATTTTTTGTTTGATTCGAATCCAGAGAAAAAAAAACAGAGGCAATGCTCTATACATTTGTGACTTATCAATAACAGTGATCCTTAAAATACATTAAACAAATTTTAAAAATTATAATTTGTGAAATTGAGTCTTAGTAGCAAGATTCATATACCATAATGGTAATGTAAGTCCTAATAGGAAACATTGGTCGTGGTTTCTGCTGTTACTTTCTACATTAAAGATCAGCTTTTAAGCATTGGGTGATGGTGTCTTTCTCGAGCTACTCACACTGAATAAATTGCCCATATAAAGTTAAAAAGATGAAGATTTGAAAAAAAGCCAACAAGATCTCAACAATAAAGATTTTACCTGCATAAAAAGCTTAGTACACAAGATACTAAATGCCATGAGACATAAATAGCTTGTTGTGAGTGGGACTAAAATGCTTAATCTTTTTAGTTATATCTATTGATGGCACGTCTCAGTGATCAAAATTTTACCCAATAGGATACAACTACAACACAAGACAGTAAGTTTTGGTCTGCAGCATTAGTCGTGGAGGAAGAAGGAGGAGGGGTGTTATGCTGTTCTTGATGACCTATGCATGAAAATAGTTGGTTATAAATGGTGGGCGTGGGACCTTAAAATGTAAAGGGGAAGCAAATTGGCTAGAAGGCTTTATTCCCATTAAAATGTAAAATAGATAAAATTATTGGTTTGTGATGGAAAACTTCTTAAAATACTGATTAGTAATCATATTTGAGTTTTCTTGGTGTCATGAATTTATTTACTAGTTCATCTGTGACAGTTTTGCTTCTGTTCTGTATATCACCAACAATCTTCTGTAGAACTGTAATCAGTTCTTTCTTCAGATCACTGGTCAAAATTTTTCCTGTTGTGTAGCCCTAAAGAATGCAACATGAATAGAGTCTAATGAGTAAAAGGAACATTCTCTATAATTTCTTTACAATTAAAGGGGTAAATAGATATCTAGAAATTAATTTTACCTCTGAATTCAATTAAAAAAAAATCATTGTCAGAGATTTAGGGAGGAATTGATAGGAACAAAAACTGTTTTACGGTATTGATAAAATATGTATATATACAGTGGAAAAAAAAAAGATACTGTAATATGAAATGCTGCATACATCCATGAATATATCAATCGTTTGACTGTAGTAGTGAGAACAAATTTACATTGCATAGATTTACATTTAATCAATTTTAATTTGACTTGCTTCGTTATAAGATTTTTCAAGATTATGTTTATGTTTAAACTAAGTCTATCATTTCTTGGTCTGCTCTATTGAATTTGAGTAAATACATACAACACAAACTGTAGTATTAATTTGATATTTAGTAGATGCGATCCAATGATTATTGTTTTGATAATTTAATAAACATACTTGTTTAATTTGTTCTAGCTTCTCATCATCATCCAAGAAGAATGTGAGATACTGATAAGAGACATCAATATCACAGTTTCCTCCCTTTGCTCTGTGTTCTTCAGCAGTTTCTCTTCCACCTGAGAAGGCATGTTTATTTATCTGAAAGAAGAATTACATGTTCAATAAATATATTTCAATGGTCAATATAATGTCAGTTTAAATTTTTGATAAGTATATTTATATGTTGGATGAAAAATATATATTTTAGTATTAAGTTGCATCAAAATTGTAAATATTAAATAATATTTGTGTTTTGTGATGTTTCTTTCAGTGTAATGGATCATCATTTTTAACTTTAATAAAATTACATTTCTCTAAATGAAGCCAATAAAATTATATAATTAGATAAGATCCAAGTTCTGATGCTAATAAATGATGAGTCATTGATATATATCAAGTCCATAGGCTTGTTGTAAGAGATACTTTTTCAGAGACCACATTCGCATAAAACCAAATTGGGAGAACATACTTTTATAGTTTTGTCACATTATCACAACATGACATAAATAAGATACACAAGTTCATGTGTAAATTCTTTTATTCATATCATCATTAATATTTCATTTATCCTTTTTATTTTCATATTGGCCTTAATGGATCTCAATTCATATCTTTTACTTAATGCAAGCTGGCAAAGGTTGCTGAAACATTCTCTTTTCATTATATTTTTATGCCAAAGGTAAATCTTTACTTTTACTCTCCAGTGTTATACTTTGTGCTGTTTTAATAACCATAAAAGTATATAATCCCTAGTCTGTGCTCTTGTTCTCTCTCGTCTTGACTATTGTAACTCTCTTCTATCAGGCTCACCAAAACATTTCTTTAAAAAATTACAAAAGTTTCAAAACTCAGCCGCTAGGCTAATTCTAAAGGCAAGAAAAAGTGATCACGTCACACCACTACTTCATTCACTTCATTGGCTCCCTATACAAGTACCTATTGACTACAAACTCTCTGTTCTCTGCCACAACTTTTTCTCGAATTCCTCCCCTTCCTATCTAACCGAACTTCTCTTTGTCTATTCACCCCTTCAACAGCCTCGCTCCTCCGCAGACGCGCGTATTCTTTCTGTCCCCAAGACTCGCACAAAAACATATGGTGAACGAGCGTTCTCTTTCTGTGCACCCAAACAATGGAATTCTCTTCCATTACACATCCGCAATATACCGACCATCACAGCCTTCAAAACTGCACTCAAAAAACATCTATTTAATCTCTACTATCCTGACTGATTTCCATCTCTAATCGTAAAACGATGCTACTGGATGTCGTCCATGGCTTGAGATGTAAATAGTTTTATATAGAGATTTTTTTTGTTTTACTTAATTAATGTATGTCAATTAATTATTTCAGATTTTTATTATGTTTGTTAAATTGTATGTATAGCGTCCAAATCAGGGGAAATTATTACTGATCGAGATAGACAACTAAAGCGGTGGATAGATCATTACTTGGAAATATACGCAACGATAAACCATGTCTCAACCACTGCCCTGGACGATATCCCAGACTTACCGGTCATGGAGGAGCTTGATACCCTACCCACCACAGAAGACCTACATAGAGCCATCGATTGTCTTGCCAGTGGGAAAGCCCCGGACAATGATGCTATCCCACCAGAATACTCAAATGTGAAAAAGGAGTACTATTACGGCTCTTGCACGATCTCCTTGCTCTGTGCTTAGGAACATGGACAGCTACCACAAGAGTTGAAAGATGCAAACATCGTTACATTGTACAAAAATTAATGAGACAAGAGTGACTGCAACAACTATCGTGGAATCTCCCTCCTCAGCATAGTTGGAAAGGCTTTCACCCGAGTTGCATTAACACGCCTACAGACCCTAGCATCGCGTGTACTCCCAGAATCACAATGTGGTTTTCACGCCAGTAGGTCAACCCTAGATATGATCTTCTCTCTGCACCAGCTGCAGGAGAAGTGCAGGGAGCAACATATGCCTTTATACATTGCGTTTGTTGACCTCACTAAGGCTTTTGATCTTGTCAGCAGAAGCGGCCTGTTTCAGATCCTCAAAAAGATAGGCTTTCCTACGCGACTGCTTAACATCATCAAGCAGTTCCACGAAAACATGCAGGGTACACTGTGCTATAACGGTGTCGCCTCAGAAGCTTTTCCAGTGGGTAGTGGAGTAAAGCAAGGTTGCGTGCTGGCTCCTACTTTATTTGCAATCTTTTTCTCCATCCTACTCCAGTATGCCTTTAAGAACAACAGCGAGGGGATATACATCCACACTAGAGCTGACGGCAAATTATTCAACATTGCCCGCCTTAGTGCTAAGACTAAAACAAGAAAGGTATTGCTGCGGGAGTTCTTGTTTGCGGACGATGCCGCTTTGGTATCTCACACAGCAGACGGCCTGCAGAGCCTCGTATCCAGCCAATCCGCTGCCTGCAAAGCGTTTGGCCTGACAATTAGCCTAAAGAAAACTAATATTTTGCAAAGGGCGCTGACTCCCTCCCCACTATCGCCATCGACGACTACGACTTGGATACTGTTGACAGATTCACATATCTGGGATCCAACATATCGAGCACCCTCTCAATGGAGGATGAGATAAGTGGGAGGATAGGGAAGGCCGCAACTGTTATGGCCAGACTGAAGAAAAGAGTCTGGTCAAACGCCAAACTCACAACAAGAACTAAGCTGCAGGTGTACCAGGCCTGCGTACTGAGCACACTTCTGTATGGATGCGAGTCGTGGACCACATACTCTAAACACGAAAGAAGGCTCAATGGCTTCCACCTCAGATGCCTGCGCCACATCCTTGACATTAAATGGCAAGACAAAGTCCCCAACACGGATGTCCTGTCCCAAACAAACATGTGTAGCGTCCCAGCCATGTTAATCCAAAGACGCCTCCGCTGGCTTGGACAAGTCAAGCGAATGCAACCTGGTCGCATACCAAAGGACGTGCTATACAGCGAGCTGGCGACAGGGAAAAGGTCAGTTGGATGGCCTCATCTGAGATACTTAGACATATGCAAAAGTGACATGAAGTCGGCCAACATTGACATCTCAAACTGGGAGGAGCTGGCAGAGGATCGATCCTCATGGCGGGACATCGTGAAGGCAGGATCACTACATGCCGAGGAGCAAAACAGGGCGTAAACAGCTGCAAAAAGAGCGAGGAGGAAGGCCGGTAAATACTGCTCCACCGCATTCGTGTGTGGGAAATGTAACAGAGACTGCCATTGGAGGATTGGTCTCACCAGCCACACCAAGAGCTGCAAGCAATATAGAAAATCTATCGTCTCCCGCAGACGGAAAGATGCCATACATACACACATACATGTATAGCGTGGTGAGCCCAGCCCTAAGCTGGGGTAACACGCTATATAAAACCACGTATAATAATAATAATAATAATAATAATAATAATAATAATAATCATAATAATAACAATAAATACTTCAGATCCTGAGATAGGACTTGATATTGAGGGTTTTTTCATGAATTAAAAATGTATGTACAACATTACAAAAAAGAACGTTGCTTGTTTGAAGATAATAGCCTACATAAAAAAAAGAATCAATTAAACAGAAAAAAAAGAACCGCTAAGTAGGCCATCTATAAATCAAAATCTTAAATTAATTTAAACAATTTATTATTTTTTACCAATAACTTTAATTATTAAAGAATTATTTATAAACCTTTTCCTTGATGACATCAGCTTCGTCTGTGAGAAATATGCAAGAGTTCGGATCACTGGCAGACATTTTGGATTGCGCTCCTTGCAAAGAAGGCAAATAAACAGAGTATAGCAATGCTGGCTTTATGAGCTTGAGTTTGGGAGCAACATCTCTCGTCATTCTAAAATAGGGGTCCTTAACAAACAAAAGGGTATTAAATTAAAGTTTTTTTTTTCTAGAATTAACACATTTAAACTAATATAGGGCTTATGGATTTCTAACTAATTAACATTTTTAAAAAATAAAAAAGCCTCTTCATAATTTTTAAGATTTTGATTTTTAAAATTTCCTGCAAGTTATCAGAACTTTAGTACTTTATAAGAGATAGATTAGTAGAAATTTTATAAATATTATTTATTCAAACAAAATTATTTAGTTTAAATTACACTTAAATTATTTTAACTTCAGAACCTGATCAATTGCACATGGAATGAGACATGGCAGGTCATCTCTTTTATTGAAAATGTGAGGAAAAGCTGAACTAAAGCTAGGAGCTGCTTGGATAGCTGGGAAACCAATCATTCCTATGTTGTTACGTCCATCAAATCCAAATAGTCCTTTGACTTGATTGAATGTCACATGTTTTTGGATCTGAAGGATGATTTCGTTGAATTTAGAACATTGCCTGCCAATAGTTAAGATCAGACATCTGTTAATGATTTGTTCATTGATTTTGTGTTTGGTTTGTGTTTTTTGTACATGACTTGTTAGTGAGCGTAATTGGTGTGAGATGAATTGTGTAGCTGTTGCTATTTTGTTTCAATTGGTGACGTATTTGGGTATGAGAGATGACGTTCGTTGTAATGGTTTTGGCAGTTAGTAAGTTGCAGAGAGAAGGTACAAGGAAGAAAGCAAACTGTGATGTTTATTTTTGAATAGAGAACCATATCAAATATTGATCTTGGTGTCGTTGCTAATTACCCCTAGACGAAACGAAGTTATTGAACTCCTTTTGCAAGAATCAGTTCGTAACTTTAACTACATCAGTAAAAATTTTCCTAGCATAAGCGATATCACTTAGATTTTTCTTACACTTGTTAATGTAGGCCTACTCGATAAACACTTTTATTTTAAGATTTCTGTCTGTTAGTAATATAAGCTAAATGATTACAAATAGTGTAACAACATTAACTATTTTAAACTAATGCTCTTTACAGAAATAAGATACTATAAACATTATTTGATCAGTTTGGCCTCTCATTATATATTTCATTTTATCCCTCTCATAAGATCAGAAAGAGTTGCAAAGAGTTAGAGACGATTCCATGAGACCAGAAGGCATAGAAAGTTATTGTTAATGGCCAATAGGAGTTGAAAACTGATTTGAAAAGGAGAAAAAATATACATCTCATAAGATATGTTGTGATATAGTATATAACATATCTCCACCATGGAGAATATATTTTAAAAAAAAATGAAGATGAATAACTCACCCAATGTATGTAAAATCTGTAAAGATAAATGTCCTATCCAAGTCAAAGCCAAGGGAAATAATGTCTTTGATGTTCTCAAAAGTTATTCTCTTTATTTCTTCAATAGAAATGTCTTTCCACAGAAATTTTTCATCATCTGTTACTTGAATCACTAGAGGTGCATCAAATATTTCTTGGAGCCACCTTAAAGTATTACAATAAAGAACTATTAATAAATACTAATAGCTAACTGTGTGTAATTATTTTAACAAATTTTGTGGAAACCATGGCAACAAAGTTTAACTTTAACCATGGTGAAAACTATTAATAAACAAATCTTACTTTGCAAAGATAAAAGGCACTAGATGTCCCATGTGCATGGCCTCTGAAGATGGAACTCTTCCTGTGTAAAGATAAAATGGTTTCCTCTGCTCATAGAGGTCCAGAATGTGGTCAATTTCTCTGAAATTCATTTAAAACATAAGTTTCAAAACAAATTCTTGTTCATATAGGCCTACAACAATTTGGGTTTTTAATAAATATTTTTAATTTGCTGATAATATAAAGAAAAAGTTGGCATTTTGGCAGAATGGTTAAGGCAAAAGAACAGCTTACAACAAGAACACGTTCAAATCCTTAACAGTAACAAAAAAGATACTGAGCTTTGCCACCTTTCCAGCAATTATCATCTCTGTTCATGCAACACTTCTATTGACATTATCTTATACATTATACCAATTCACACACCCAAGAATGTGGCGGAATATGGATTCTATATTCTCAATTTTGGTTCATAATTATTAATAAAATTAATTATTGTCTAAATCAATGATCAACAATTTTTGTCTTTTAATGGGCTATGAGAAAACTGGGCTAAAAAGTAAAGTTACATTTACTTATAGCCCCAAAACTGGGGAGTAGTGCACTTGAAATGCATGTGTGTTAGATGGTGATATGGCATGTTTACTTATGCCACTAGTTTGGAGAGAGAATTACTATTCTAAGTCTCAGGTGGTCTCTAAACATACACATGACAATGAGTTCACTTAAAAACATAACAAGTTAGAGGGTTTAGGATTAATGGTTTTGTTGAGCTCCTATTGACAATGCACATTTCTAGCGTAAAGAGGTGCCATTAAATACGTCATTTGAAAACTTAAACTCTGGACATACGTACTCATAAATTAAAATAAACAAAAAGCTCATCACAGTTATAGGATAGAGAGATGAGCTTATCCATATGTGTTAGGGAGATAATGATATGTATATACACCAGTGGAAACACTGTCCTATTATAATGGCTTAGACGTCACAGCTGGGGTCAACAAGAAAAAGCGAAGGCTGAGTTCCCAAGGTGTGATAATAATAATAAGTGGTCTTATATAGCGCGGTACCCCGGCCTAGGGCTGGGCTCACCGCGCTGTACATATATAGCAAAGAGGCATAATCATAATATTGAAATAAAATACATAAATGAAATAAAACAACATATAAGCAAAACAACACCATAGGTATATTCATCCACCCACACCAGACATTTTTACAAGGAAACCCATGTACGTTTATCGGTTTATAGGAGGAGAATCAGTCAGAGTAGTATAGTTTAAATAGATGTGTTTTGAGTGCAGTTTTGAAGGCCTGTGTGGTTGTTATATTGCGGATGTGTAGTGGCAAAGAATTCCATTGTTTGGGGGCGCAGAAAGAGAAAGATCGTTCACCATATAATTTAGTGCGTGTCTTGGGAACGGACAGAATACGCGAGTCTGCGGAGGAGCGAAGTTGTCGAAGGGGTGAATAGACAGAAAGAAGTTCAGTTAGATAGGAAGGGCAGGAATCCGAGAAAAAGTTGTGACAGAGAAGAGACAGCTTGTAGTCAATGCGTGCCTGTATAGGGAGCCAATGTAGTGAGTGGAGTAGTGGAGTGACGTGATCGCGTTTTTTTGCCTTAAGAACAAGCCTAGCAGCAGAGTTTTGAACTTTCTGCAGTTTTTCTATAAAATGTTTCGGTGAACCTGACAGAAGTGAGTTGCAATAGTCAAGACGAGAGAGAACAAGAGCACAGACTAGAGTTTTTGTTGCGCTAACTGTCAGGTAGTGGCGGATGGAGCTGATCTGACGGATGGCGGTGTATGCCGAACGACAAATGTGAGAGATATGTTTATCGAGAGACATGTTGTTAGAAAGAATATAACCAAGATTCCTAGCAGAGGGTGTAAACTGTATGTCGGAGTTACCTACTTGAAATGAGGTGGGAAGAGTTGAGGTAGAGGATGATTTGTGATTGTAAATGAGGAGTGCTTCTGTTTTGTCATCATTAAGCTTCAACTTGCTGAGTGTCATCCAAGACTTGACATCATCAATGCACCCCCGCAAAGTCTGGACAGCGGAATCGACAAGAGATGGATGGGTATGCATGTATAGCTGTGTATCATCTGCAAATGACTGGTTCTCAACAGCATGCCTCCCGAGCAAGAGGAGTAGTGGTCTGGTATACATTATGAATAGAACCGGACCCAAAACGGACCCCTGTGGCACTCCGTACACCAAATCAGCACTGCCGGAGAGACAGCCATCGACAGAGACCATTTGCGTTCTATCAGAGAGGTAGGACCTAAACCAAGCCAAAACCGAACCAGAAATTCCAAAGTAGTTTTCAAGGGTTTTGAAAAGGATTTCATGGTCAACAGTGTCAAAGGCCGCACTGAGGTCTAAGAGGATCAAAATGGAGACATTACCGCTGTCCATTGCGCGCAAGAGGTCATTACTGACTCTCAAGAGAGCTGTCTCCGTGCTATGGAAATGTCTATAGGCCGACTGATTAGAACTGAGAAGAGAGTGATCATTTAAGTAAGCAAAAAGTTGTTTTAGGACTAGTTTTTCAATAACTTTAGATAAAAATGATAAGTTAGATACAGGTCTATAGTTTTTTAAATTATTTTCATCCAGACCGGGCTTCTTAAGCAATGGTTTGATGACAGCTGATTTGCAAAGAGGCGGAACAGTGCCAGAATATAAGCTTTCATTTATTATGCGGGTTATTGTTGGGAGCAAGATATCTAATGACTCAACCAACAGGGGGGTTGGGATGGGATCCAAATAACATGACGTATGTTTAGATTTTAGGATTATATTTTTTACCTCAAGTTCTGAAACAGGTTTAAAAATATTAAAATGGGAAGTAAGACAAGGGAAAGGAGGCAATTCAAGGGGAGGGGCATCAAGACGATCAAGCTCAGCTCGAATGTCAGCTACTTTGCTTGTAAAGAAATTACAGAAAATATCTGGTTGCTTGGGCAGGGGAAACACCGAAGGAAGCGCAGTTCCTTTGTTACTCCCCCTAAGGTGACCACAAACATCAAACAACTGCCTGCTGGTTTTACCCATAGTTATCTTTTGGCTAAAATACGTAGTCTTTGCACGACAAACAATCTGATTGACACGCTTCTTGGCAGCGTAAAATATCTGCTTAAAAACCACAAGACCTGACCTTAACCACTTCTTTTCTGCACTACGGCGCTCTTTCTTGGCACTGCGTAGTTCCTCCTTGATGGTCGCATACCAGGGAGATGACCGCTTTAGACTAAAATTGCGGCGGGTGACAGGGGCGTGTCGGTCAAGCACAGCGCGCAATGCACGGTCTAGTGATTCCAATGTGGGGCAGAGGGCAGGGGACACTTCTACGCTTAGGTCATGCTTAAATGCATCCCTGTTTATAGCTCGCAGACTGCGCACCTCCCTAAACTGAGGGGGAGGGTTGGGGGCACTAACACTAAGTTCACAAATAACACAGAAGTGGTCAGAGGACAGCTCTTGCGTGATTGAAGTAGATCTAACTACACCATCTTGAGGCCTATGTAGTACCCAGTCAAGAATATGTCCACGATTATGAGTCGGTTGGTCGACCGATTGGTGAAGACTGAATAAATCCAAGAGATCCAACATCCTAGCAGTGGAGGGGTGCTGTGGTTGATCAAAATGGAAGTTCATGTCGCCTAGTACAATGTAAGTCCCGGTCAATGTGTTGCAGTGGTCAATCAAATCCGGGAATTCTCGATGAAACACTGAGTCGGTCAATTTATTTTTCTTACTAGGGAAGGTGCGATATATGCACATGAAATGAACTGTCTGCTGGGGCACTGACAGTGTAAATTGAACTACCTCAAAAGACGTGTGGACGAATGGGAGGTCTGTGACAAAAGCTGTATGATGGGACAACGTGTCTCTATATATAATAGCAAGGCCTCCGCCGCGAGTTGAACGGGGAAATGATCTGGCAGAATAGCCATAGGGAGCGAGATCGGTGCACTTCCCCTCATCGCCAGTCAGCCGAAACCAGGTCTCCTGGATAAACAGAATGTCAATCTGCCTATCAGAGACAAATTCGGAGACTGCAATTCGTTTCTCATAGGGGCCAAGCGACTGGGCGTTGAATGTGGCAATGAGAAGTTGTTTGTTGATAGAACGTGGAGAGGTTTTGATGTGAATGAGGTTGGCAGGGTCCGAGTAGTGTAGAGTAGGTCTTGGTAAAGAATGAGTGACAAGTTGTTGTTGTTTTCGTCTACCACCACGGTGGGTGCGCTTCCGAGGCAGGCCTCGACCAATCAAAAGCTCTTTCAGTCGACACACGAGGTCAGCGGTCAGATGCGTACGCTTGGCATTCATTGACAAAAGACGATCACGTGTGTATGCAAGCACAGGTCGGTTACCGCCGTGGGGACTGCGTGTGTCACTGACCGTAACGTCGACTTGACCGTGCGATGAGCGTGGTGCCGACAAAGATGGCCGACCGTGTAGGCGGTGAATCTCACTAACCTTTGCAACAAAGAAAATCCAAAACAACAAAAGTCCAAAGTTAGGAGGGACACAAAACATATCCGAATCAAAGTAGTGGTCCATGGTGGATATCCAGTACAGAAAAAACAATACAAAAACATTTTAAAATTGGTGAAACGTAAAATTCCAAATTAGTAAAAAAAGAAGCGGTGGCCTCATTTGACCCACAGGCCATAGTTTGTAAACCCTTTGGTTATCGGGATAGTATTAGTTGATGTTTGTAAATTGATGAATAATGTTTTATTTGTATTGAAAAATTGACTTACCGATGAGAAAAGAAAATGTTTCGCCTTAGCAAGTGATGTGCCTTTTTACCAGTTAATTGTTCAAACCTGCTGATAAGGTCTTCATCAATTCTTTGGCACCCAAAACGAACTGAGAATAATAATATTTTAAAAAAGTTGCAACAGAAAATAATTTTTATGTTGATTAATGATTTGATGTTTAGTGTTGTGTTTGCGCATATGGAGCTTTACCCATTAACAGGGGCGTAGCTAAGGTAGGTGTCGCTCGGTGAGGTATACTTATGGTGTCATCCTACCTCCCACGACTTCCACTATTGATTACTTCTTGTTAAAATAAGTCCACCGTATGACAAGAATGACAAGAACAAAAACAAATTAATTAAAGGTCAAAAGGTAAATGTATTTGAAAGAACTGTAACAACGTTAAGTTATAGTTAGTTTTTTACATTAAATTTACTTTATTGAAAAGTGTCCTTTCCTTGTCTTCAAAGCTGAAAACTTGTCAATGACTTGATCAAAATGATAGTACTGCCAGGTTTGAAAGCCTTAATTGTTCCATGTTGTATCGTAAATAGTTCGTGATAAGTCTTAGTTTTGAAAAGCTCCGCTCGCAAGAGATTCTAAAAAAGTCCCATCCAGCTATGAATTTCAAAACATAAAGTACGGAACAGTCCATGACTTTGTGAAATTCAATATCATGTGTCTTTTGAGCCTTGGTATTTTTTTTAAAAGTAAATCACCTGATAACTCATCATAGAAAGATGTTTTTGGAACGGGCACCAATTTTCTTCTTCACTTGCTGAAAGTAGACTCTTGAGTTTAACAGCCCAAAACATATCTGCTTGACATAGAACTGATAGGGGAAGGTAGAAGAGACAGATCAAAAGCCTTTTTTGAAATAGAAGATGCATCATTATAAGCGAGACTGGAGGTTAACAACTAGAAAAACAAATCCATGACTATGATAAGAGACGAGCAGACAGATGAAACCATTAAAAAAAAAACAACAACAAACTTTTGAAAAAGAAAATCAACCAGAAAATACTTAAAAGTAAAAAAAAAAATACAGGAGAAGAAAAACAAACTATTTATAAAACCTTTAATCAGACACGTTGTAACATACGCAAGTGAAACCTGGATCCTAAAAAAAAACGACCGAAAACCTATTAAACACATGGGTGAGAGAAGTTCTCCGGACAATATACGGGCTAACAAATATGTTTGCAGAATACGAACCAAACAGGAATTGTGTAGTCTATATCAGGATCCCACGCTAGTAGCAGAAATAAAAAAGGGAAGGCTCCGCTGTTCGGGACACTTAGAAAAGAAACGCCAAATGAGGAGTGAAGAGGGTGCAATCACCAAAACCCCAGAGGAAAACGGCTCAAAGACAGACCAAGGCTTAGATGGATGTATGGTGTTGAAAATGATCTACAGCAGCTGGGAATCCAAGAATGGAAAAGAAAAGCACCAGTTAGGTTAGTAGTGAGGCTGGTCAATGCCCTACATGGACTGTAGCGCCACTGGGATGGACGGAAAGACTTGCTCACGACAACTGAGATATAGGCCAAGATCTAGTGGGTGACGGTGCAGTGTTTCTTGTGGCTCTCGGGGCTCTTTATGTGTTCCTCATGGCAAGAGTTGCCGGAATTTACATTGTGGTAATGTCATACCACCTACTGAACTCCTCCAGTTTTTAAGTTAGAATTTGCCTTCTCTTAGGTGGGCTTAGCTGGGATTCATCCAGGGCTAACGAGTCCCATCCACCCCGGGGGTGCTGGTGTTTTTGTTTGTCTTATTTTTGTTGAGTTTGTCTTACAGAGCTAAACATATTTCGTCATTGTATTTATAGTAGCTTTCGTCTTCTTGTCATGCCATCTTTGTTACCGTACTCTCTGTCTCTCTTCCTCTCCAACCCTGTTTTATTGGTGGACGGGTTCCGATATTCTTATTGTTGTATTCTAATGTATATAAACAGTGTTTGATTTCTTTAGTCAACCATGTCTTTGCTTTATTAATGAACAATGATGTTTTCTTCTCTTTAATTTTAATTAATATTTTGATCTTGGTAGTTCAATGAATTTTAAATATATTTAAACTCTTCCTTCTTCATAAATCCTTTAAACCGGGGTAACTTCGTTTTGGTTTATGTGTTTCTATGAGTAAGGCAAAACATTCGGATTGATCCACTTCTCGTCATCGTATTGAACTGAAACGTGGCACATAGACTCGTTGCCGAAGAACAACCCATTCTCTCAAATTTTCAGCCCCACCCTTCCCCCAAAATTCAATTTTAACGCTACCAGACCCCACTGATTTCACGAAATAAAATTCCCGATAACTGCGCTAAATGAGATTATTAAAAATATCGTTTGGTGCGTAATATTGCCTTTTGTTTTACGGAAATAGTTGAAGCAATACATCTGCGTTATAAAAGCTGGTGGAGCATAAACATATTAACACAGTTGAGTGGCATAAAAAATTATGTGGTTTCGAGCCTTTGAGGCAGGGGGAAGCACTAATTGGGATTCTTATAAAGTGCGTTACTTGAATGCGATTTTTATCAAATGTTCATCCCCACCCCCTTTGCTGGGTATTACATTTGAAACGGATTGATACGAAAATATTTGTTTTTTGGGGTTGTTTAATTAATACCAAAAGTAATTCTTTAAATTAGATTGATTAATAGGCACTATTTAGTTTTAAAAAAAAATTATAGTACCAATAAATTTGTCATAGTCAACCCCTTTGTCAGACGCTGCATCCATTTCCCATGGCATCTCTGTGTTCTCTTTTTTGTCTGTGTTCTTTTTTAAGTTGTCCTTTTCTGATTCAACTCATCGGTGGCAATCTTTTGGTTTAAAAAAAAAGCACAATAATTAATAATTTAAATGGTATCTTTAATGTCTATGATTTCATCAAGAGAGCGGTACTAATTTCACCGTGACTTTTAGCTCAAAATAACTACGCGTTATTTAATAATGTTTAATGTTATAAAGCTAAATGAAACAAATAAACAATAAATTTAATTTTTTTTTTGAAAAAGAAGAAATTGAAGGATACAATTTTTGGACAGTAGCAAAGAAAAAAAAGTTGGAAAAAACAAAACCAGACAACACCAACAATTATGAAACAATTATCTGTCAATAACTTATAATGGTAGTATAATCATGAATATATATATTTTTCCAACATGATATTTCCTAGGGAAGAAATGCAGGCCACATCCATTTTAAAAGCACTGCCCCCCTCCACCCCCCCTGGATAGTTAATAAATGTAAATACTTTCTTCAGCACCCCCCCCCCCGCCATCTTTTTTTTTCTTCTCGTCCTTCGCACTAGTACGCATTATCTCCAAAATCAAAATTATCCTCATTTTAAAAGCCCTGCCCCCCTCCACCCCCCCTGGATAGTTAATAAATTTAAATACTTTCTTCAGCCCCCCCCCCCCCCGCCATCTTTTTTTTTCTTCTCGTCCTTCGCACTAGTACGCATTATCTCCAAAATCAAAATTATCCCCCCCCCCTTTTCGCAGTGCATACGTAATCAATGGATGGACCCATATGTGATACTGATTTAGAAGTTTAAATCTCGTGACTCTTTAACCCCGGAGCTTAAGCCCTTTGGGAACAAGGGAAGGGAGAGGGGGGGGTGGGAATGCGTATTTTGTGCGGACACAGTCCCTAACATCGGTGTGCTTGAGCCTGTAACGAGTTGTTACAATGACATATTTTACGGAACTTTACTGAACTGATTGTCAACAATATCCAACATCAATAAAATATAATATATCGAAAGGAGACACATAGGCTCCATCGATGTTCTCATGTTTTGCTTGTTTCGGAGCACACCAGATGCCGACTTTGGTGCAATGTGGTAAGCAGAACGTCGTTTTAACATGAAAGAAGCATCCTTTAAATAATGTCTGAATAGGTCGTTACAAGGCCTAGAGTGACTTTATGTAAGGGTTCGTCCATTAAGTACGTCACACTCAGGAAAGATGAGGCGGGAGGTATAAATTGTGACACTTGAGGGGGGTTTAGATCATATGTGACGTCATACATTCATATTTTAAAAACTGAAGTTGCTTAACTTTCTGTTGAGTTTGGGATGTATTCTGACAGTCCTCGCCCTGAGAGAAAGAATTCGTACCGAACGGGCCGATCCTAATTATCTGTGATGAAGAGGGTGGGACGTATCATCCAAAATTTATTTAGTTTTACAATAACATCTTTCTTCAAAGAGTTCTTCAAGTGAAGGATGTTTAGTTTGTGTTTTGTTCCTAGCTTTCTTGACTAGTCTGTTGATTGGGTGTTTCATATCAAACGATGAATTCCCACACCAGCAGATTATACTAAAATTAAGTAGGCTTCCAATTGTTGCACTGTAGAATAAGTTAACGACTTGCTTGTTTGTTAACGCCGAAATTGTACAGTTTTTTAGGTAAGAAAGTCTTTACATCTTTAGTTTGTTAATCAACAAGTTAAAAAGTTTTTAACCTTAAATTTTATAATGCAGAATTAATGAAAAGTTTGTTAAAGACTGTATATCATTGTTTGGGGGAGTATAAATATGATTATTGTTAGTATAGCTGACAATTAGAGTATAGTTTCTTGCTGCTATCAACGTCCCAGGGAGTAGCCAAGTGTTGTTCTATGGGCATCAGTGAAATCATTTGGGTAGGGAAGGGAGCCTTTGCCCCCCCCCCCCCTGAATTTTCAGGTTTTATTTAAATTGCTATGTACTGTGGCGACTCCAGTACAACTTAACAAGCCGACCAAGTTTTGGTTTTGCCCCCCCCCCCCCTGAAAAAACCATGAAATGACGCCCCTGATGGGCATAGTCTATAGTAGCTGATTTATCACTTTCCTCTTGCGGAGCTGATATACCAGACAAGTTAATATCATCCTCATCTAACCATTCAGCACTTAAAATGGAACGTTGTCAGTGTGAGCAATAATTGCCATAAGCTCTCTCTGTCTCCTGGCAGCCACTCACATTGGTCGAATCCTTTTTTGTTGAGGAGCAGGTGGTAATTTCTTATGCCTTGTCGGTGCTGTTGAACTTGCTATTATCAACATGACGTGTGATTCACAATAGATGTTACGGATTTTGCAAATCCGTCCAAGCA